CCCCTCATCTACATCCTGGTGATGTTCGTGGCCGTGCCAGGTGTTTCCCTGGGCATTTCGTTGCTCTATTCAGCCAGCGTGGCTGCAGGTGTCGTTTGCACAATCCTGGCTCTGGGCGTAGTGGGCGCATTCATCTACTGGTGGGTGCGCATGGGTGGCTGCTACAAGGTCGTGAGCCAGGAGGAGCGGGAGGCACGCAAGGCCGAGATCGAGGAGGAGATGGGTGTTGTGGGTGAGAAGAAGGCAGCCCCGGAGGCTGACGCAACACCAGCGGAATTATCTGTCTAAACGTCATACAATCTGCATCTCCGGACATGTTGAGCGAAGAGCTTCCTTTTGTCCACGGTCCTTGTAAAACAAGGGCCTTCTTAAATTCATGGGGGCTCGAGGGGTTGGAACTCCGGCAGTACACCCTTTAGGTCTCCACCGCATGTCGGCCTGGCGCGCGCTGACTGAGCGCGCTGTTTCGGCGAGTTCTGATCGTGGAATGGGTGGAACGGCGACGGGTTGCAAGTGACTGCAAGTGACGCAGTTGCTGTAACCCGTTCTTATTGCCACCACTGCACTCTTGAGCGCTGCTGCAGATTTTGCTCTTGTGCGGAGCTTTGAAGAAGTTCCTCTGCAGCGGCTGACGGCTGCTTGCCGAGCATGCATCCATGAAAACGCAGCACTCAGCACTCTGTGCGTGGCTTTCCTTCTGTTTGTTCTGGATAGACAATGACATTGAGGTTCGAGTCTGGGTTAGAGCCAGAGCATGACACAGCTGTTCAGATCTAGCGGCTAGGCGGATGGAGGAGCGCTTCCATTTCTGCTGCCAATGGAGGTGACCGCCTGTAGCGCTCAGTTCTCAGCTTGAAAGCCTCAGAGCCTGTCTTGATATCGCACGAGTGTAGGAATGCTGCATTTTGTGGATCCACGGGGCTGAACTGTCCAACTTCCTCAGATCTTTGCATGGTCTGCAGCACTTGAGTATGACAGAGTCCTGACGCAGCTCATTCAGTGTGAGTATGAGGGTTGAGAGTTGGTTCACTGCTGACTGACTTACTGATTGCATGTGTTGTGCAAGCCAACAAGGCCCCTGGAATATGCGCTTGCAGCACATGCCGAGCAGCTCATCAGGCCGGAGCTCAGAACAATGTGCGGGTGTCTCATGAATCCATAGTTTTGTTTTGCACTTGCTGTGACTCGATCAAAGTGTGAAAAGTGTGAGACCTTTGTCCCGTGCGAAATGCATGTCAAGAAGGTTTTGCCTGAAGCTTCTTGGCTCAAACATCGCGCTCGATCTCAGCCTGTCCGCGTCCGCGCTCGCTCAAGATGGCTGAAGAGACGAAGGAGCAGAGCTGCGCGCAGTTCGCCTTGTTCGTGACGCTGAAGATCATCGGAGTCCTGGTCGCCCTGTACTTCTTCCTGGCTGGTCTGAGCCTGATGGGCGGATCTTTTGGTGCTCTTGGGGGCAAGGGAGCGGGCGAGCTCTTCACGATCACTGACAACCCCATCGCAGGTCTCATGGTGGGAGTTTTGGCCACGGTCCTGGTGCAGTCATCCTCCACCAGCACAAGCATCGTGGTGGGTTTGGTCGGTGCCGATGTGTTGACTCCGCGCCAGGCAATCCCAATCATCATGGGCGCCAACATCGGGACGTCTGTGACCAACACCATTGTGTCAATGGCACATGCGGGAGATCGCCTGGAACTGGAGCGTGCCTTCTCCGGAGCAACCGTGCACGACATGTTCAACATGCTTTCCGTCCTGACGCTGCTCCCGTTGGAGATCATCACTGCTGCCATCTCCGGTGAAGGAGGCCTGCTCTATTGGATCTCCAGGGGCTTGACGGAAGCAGCCGTTGGCGGAGCAGAGACGGACCTGACCTTCCCATCCCCAACCAAGGAGATTGTGAGCCCATTGGTGAAGGCATTCCTGTCCAAGGACAAGAACGTCGTGAAGGCCTTGTCCTTTGGTGAACCTCCTGCCTACACAATGCCCTCAGGCTCCGGCACTTACTACTGCGTGAGTTCAGCCATGAGCTCGGCTTGGAAGAAGGTTGCGGAGGATGCCTACGAGGGCCTGACAAGCTGCAGTGGCTTCGCAAACGAATGTGCTGACGGTAGCAGCTGCTACACGGATGCCGGCGACTACTACACCAATGAGATTGCTGGTGCCAGGCTCATCGGCAAGGGCTTCCTGAAAGATGCAGGCGACGTGGCGGGCGGCATCATCGGGCTCATCATTTCGCTGGTGGTGCTGTGCACAGCTCTGTACGTCTTGGTGCGGCTCTTGCAGAGCCTCGTGATGGGCCAGGCAAAGAAGGTGATCATGAAGGGCACCAACATGAACGACTACTTGGCCATGTTGCTAGGTCTGGTGATCACGATCATTGTGCAGTCGAGCTCTGTGACCACGTCTGCCTTGACTCCTCTTGTTGGCATCGGAGTTCTTCCTGTGCACAAGATGTTGCCCATGACTCTTGGGGCCAACATCGGCACAACCTGCACTTCCATCCTGGCTGCCTTTGCTGTCATGAAGTTCAACAGCATCCAGATTGCCTTCTGCCACCTGCTCTTTAATCTGATTGGGATCCTCATCTGGTTCCCAGTGCCTCTGATGCGCAGGGTGATTGTGCGAGCCGCTTGCACCCTTGGCTTCTACGCCTCATACTGGCGCCTGGTGCCCCTCATCTACATCCTGGTGATGTTCGTGGCCGTGCCAGGTGTTTCCCTGGGCATTTCTTTGCTCTATTCAGCCAGCGTGGCTGCAGGCGTCGTTTGCACAATCCTGGCTCTGGGTGTAGTGGGCGCATTCATCTACTGGTGGGTGCGCATGGGTGGCTGCTACAAGGTCGTGAGCCAGGAGGAGCGGGACGCACGCAAGGCCGAGATCGAGGAGGAGATGGGTGTTGCGGGTGAGAAGAAGGCAACCCCAGAAGACGCAGCCCCAGCCGAAGCTGTGTAAAGTCTGTACGTCCAGACTTGCTGCAGAGCGACGAGCTTTAAACTTGTCTTTTCCACGGTCCTTGTAAAACAAGGAACCTTGTTCTTTCATGGGGGTCGAGGGGTTGGAACTCCGGCAGTACGCTCTTCGATTTCCCCTGCATGCCGGCCCTGCGCGCGCTGACTGAGCGCGCTGTTTCGGCGAGTTCTGATCGTAGAACGTGGAACGGCGATGGGTTGTGACGCATTTGCTGCACGTACTCTTGAGCGGCCTGCGGTGCTGAGCGAAACGCAGCGCGGCCGGAGCTTATTTTACTGTTGCGTGGAGCTTTGGAGAAGTGCCTCTGCAGCGGTTGATGGCTGCTTGTTGGGCGGCAGCGAAGTTCGACAGTTCAATCGTGCTGGGCCCGTGCCGTTAGCAGTGCATTGAAATCGATTGCAGAGGCTTTGCGGCGTTCACCATCCTCGGCTTCCACTATGCTCTCAATCCTAGCCAAGAAACCCTAAACCCTAATTTAAACTCTCAACCCCCAACCCGCAACCCCCAAGCCCCCTTCTGGGGCTACAGTTTATCAATATGTTTGCAGATGTTTATAGGGGCTTTTCACTCCGGGTCTTCCTGAGACATCGAGCGTTAAGGATCCCATTCGAATTCTGTCGGCCTGTGAGACATTCATGCAGCCTGGCATGTCACTGCATAGCTGCCGGAGGCCAACTGCGGAACAGTCGCAGACACCTGACCCGTCCCGACCGTCCCCAAAACCTCTTCCACTTTGATTCTCACCATCAAGGTCAGTATGACAGGGCAAAGTCATCTTGTTCCTCTTACTTCTTCTGGCTTAATGCGCAACATTTCTAGTATCACTTGAACAACGTAGACATTAGCTGTTCTTGTTATTCTTCTTCACCTTTTTCTGGTACTACTCTTGCAGCGGGCAAGGCCGACGGCGACGGCCGGGACCGCGGGGACTGCGACTGGGACCGTGCCTCACGGAGCAAAGAAGACCCTAAGGTGTGTTGAGGGTCCAAGTCTTACATGCATGTACAGGGATGATGATGATGATGAGGATGAGGATGATGATGATGAAAGTTTGGTTCTTGGTCCACCTACTTGAAGGGGTTATGGAGGTAAAGGCATGCGTGAACAGGGATCAGCGTCTAGGTTATTCGTGTATGCCAGAGGCTGTCAGAAGCAAGCGTACTTCTGACCAATACGAAAACTCAGGGTATCTACCGTGTTTTCGACAGGTCTCAAGCACAACAAGATACAGCTTCAGATGCAAGAAGAGCAGGACCTTTTTATGAGAGGTAGGTCTTGAGGGGGGGGGTGACCATATACATAGATGTACATAGTTAAAACTAGATGCGTATAATGCGGTCTTCAACCATGCTTCTAAACCTTCAACCCTAAACCCTAGACCCTAAACCCTACCCTCAGCCCTGAGCCCTGAGCCCTAAACATATATATTCAAGCACTTGTTGATGGTCCTGAACCCTAACCCCTACACCCCGAACCCTTCTACAGCTTCTCAGAGGCACGGCAGCCATGGTGAAGGGGGCCCATGCGCAGCAAAGATCTGTGCAGCGGCCGTGGAATCCCAAGTTGACCACTTCTCGGGATCTTGGTGGTTTGAACTGCCAAGTGGAAAAGACAGCGGGCTTTGTTGAAGTACGTCCCCGATTGCGATTGCAGTCAACAAGGGATTATCAAGGGTCGAGTAGAATCGCAAATCAAGTCACGGGGTTTAGCTGTTTGTGGGTACCCGTCTGCGCTGTGTTGCTGGTTGCCTGTCTAGAACGGCGCCACTTCTCGCACCGTCCCATGGAAAGAATCATCCGTCCTCCGTTCCTGTTTTTTGAAGCCCGCCTTTTCTGGGTCCATGAGCGCTTTGAACTGCAAAACCCTCCAACCCTAAACCCTAAACCCTAAACCCTGAACCCCAAACCCCAAAACCCCAAACCCTAAACCCTAATCCTAAACCCTAAAACCCTAAAAACCCTAAACCCTAACCCCTCAGCTGAAGAATCCTCGACCACTCCAGTCTGGGATGCGCATGCGGGGCGTTTCTTGCCATGGGCTCCTGCGCGAGCCTGACGCGCTTTCAGAGAACCGCCTACGACTATGGCGCTGCCACTTGACGTAGCCATATCTTCTGTGCTCGACTTCGATTTACTTTTCCATTCACGAATTCTGATGTTTTCTTTCGTCTTGGACCAGACTCCAACCCTGACCACCCCTTCTTCGAAGCATCTCTGGCAAATTCCTTGGTCCCAACTCCCAAGCACAACCCAAAACCCTTAAACCACAACCCTAAGCCCTAAACCTTAATCCATGAACCTTAAGCCCTCAGCCCTAAGCCCTAAGCCCTAAGCCCTAAGCCCTAAGCCCTAAGCCCTAAGCCCTAAGCCCTAAGCCCTAAGCCCTAAGCCCTAAGCCCTAAGCCCTAAGCCCTAAGCCCTAAGCCTTAAGCCCTAACCCTAAACCCTAAAGCTTAAACCCTAAACCTGAAGAACGATATGCGGGCCCTGTCAAGTCGCCAGTCCGACTTCGGAAAGATCTCAAGAAAGAAGGCCAAGCGACCACATGAAAGGCTCTCCCAATGCTGGTCCCTTCTGGATGGAAGCTTATACACACGAAATTGTAAAATTTAGGCTTTAGGGTTTAGGGTTTAGGGTTTGGACCATGTCAGGGGTAACACCCACCTGTTCGTCCAGAAATCGGGTATTGCCAGGATCCTAGACAGTAGCGGCGGCTGTGTGGCAGTTTTATCTTTTTATCTTCACCCTAACCCCCAAAGCCTTCATAACCGCTGAAACTTCAGCCCTCAATCCCAAACCCTAAACCCTAAACTCTAAATCCTAAACCCTAAACCTTTAAACCGTAAACCCTAAACCCTAAGCGGCCTGAACCGCTGCTTCCCTGCCTCTCAGGATTCGGAGGAGGGGCTGGATGAGTCCGAGCCAGGCCAGGCTGGGAAGCGACAGGAAAACTGGGGCATCATAGGTGTCGTCATCGATACCTCCATACAAGTCAGAGTTTCGGGTTGAGGGTTAAGGGTTTGGGGTTTGGGGTTTATTTAGGGTTTAGGGTAGCTTTAGTGAAAGAATTCCATTGCGAGACTGTGCTAGACCTAGGGAGTAGGTCTAGATTCGGCGAAGTTGAAGTATCGTGTGCCGTTCTTTCCTTTTCTATAGTACACCAACATGCAGCAAAATCAAAGTGAACATATTGACAGTAAACTGATCAGACTAAAAAGAATGATACAACCATTTTTTTGTATACAACCACTACTATACATATACATATACATATACATATACATATACATATACATATACATATACATATACATATACATATACATATACATATACATATACATATACATATACATATACATATACATATATATATATATATATATGTATATATATATATATATGTATATATATATATATATGTATATATATATATATATGTATATATGTACATTTTTCTATATGTGCATGACATATGTATAACCATTGAGGTTACACGAAAACAATATACTGCCATATTGGCACAGTACATTCATCTTCAGCCCCTCCCAGGCACGCCCTTCTCCCGCGCGTCGAAGCCTCGGCGGCGCCGTGCCCGCTCGGGGAAGGAGTTCTGGGACACAGCCCAGCAGTTGTCGAAGCTACGATTGACAGGGCTTGCCGGTTTAGGTTTTAGGGTTCAGGGTTTAGGGTTTGGGGTTTAGGGTTTAGGGCTAGGGTTTAGGGTTCAGGGTTTAGGGTTTGGGGTTTAGGGTTTTAGGGTTCAGGGTTTAGGGTTTGGGGTTTAGGGCTGCTGTTCTGATTAGTAGAACCAGAAGCCTGTGGGATGACAGGTTCTTCTCGAGGTCCGTCACCCGGGATCTGAAGTCCTCGGGGCAGTTTGCGACTCTTGGGCTTACACCCCCGGGCCGAAAGTTTCGACCCACGGCACATGTTGGATGGCATGCAGACAGTGAAGGCTCCCGCGGAGTAGCGGAGCGCCGAAAAGTAGCGTTTTCCCTACACCTGCTAGCGGAGAAATAATACCCCGTTTTGAGTCAGGAGTACTATAGTAGCTCCGGAGGAGGCCCCCAGCCCCATTGTGTCAGGAGTACTTAGTAGCCCCGGAGGAGGCCTCCAGCCCCATTGTGTCAGGAGTACTATAGTAGCTCCGGAGGAGGCCCCCAGCCCCATTGTGTCAGGAGTCTATGGGGAAGAGGGCGGGGTATGGGTGTAAGAACCCCAAGATGTTGGTGGGTCGAACTATCGGCCCGGCGCAGTAGGGTTCAGGGTGTAGGGCGTAGGGCGCAAGGTTTAGGGTGTAGGGTTAGGGTTTAGGGTTCGGCACTACAAAGGAACGGAGTCCCACCCACGGCCACAGAGCAGGACGTGTCGAACAACAAGCCCCGGACACCGCGGAGGCCAAGCATTGGATCCGCATCCTCCCAGGCAGGGGTGCGAGAGGCAAATGGTAGCTGAAGGATGCACCAGGAGGTCACTACCCTAAGAGTAGGATTGTAGGATTGATAAACGACGCCAGCTTGCACTGGTGCTGCAAGAGCTTCTCCTTCTGCTGGAAAGCCGATGTCCAGCAGAAATGTGGCTTCTAATTTTTCTGTCTCGTCGGACTACCCTACACCCTAAACTCCTAAACACCAAATCCCACAGTCTAAATCCTAAACCCTTTTGACCTGCACGTCCTTCAGGCTAGCGAGGAGGACAACAGACGACCAGCTCACGACTTCAAGGCTCGGGACGGCATTTCGGGGGGCTTCTGCCTTGGGTCGGGGATGGGGCGAAGCAATGCTTTACTTACTGTTGGTTAGTAGGGAATGAGGGAATGAGGTACCCTATATCCTTTTAGGCCCCTATATGTACCCTTGAAGGGATTAGACAGGGTACCTCATTCCCCCATTCCCTACTGACCAACTGCAAGTTTAGGGCCCTTTTAGGGGCTTCAGGGTGGGTCCTTGAGTCTGTGGGGTGTCTTTTTGAGGTGAGCTCGACGGTCGACTACAGCACCAACTGGGATACCGTGCTGTGGCACCACATGGTCGAGCGCTACAAGACCCCCGACCTTCTTCCCCAGCACATTTTCCTATCCCTGCTTTTGCATGATTTTTCTTCTGGAGTTTCTCTCTGAGAAGGCTGCAAAGAAGGTATGCAGGCAGAGGCGCTGATGACCCCTAGGTGCCTCGTGTGTCTCCAAGGAGGGGCTTCTCGGTGTACGGCCAGGATACGATCTACAACCGCCTGAGCGCTTTGGCGTGGAACTTGGGGGGCGATTTGGCAGGGAACTTGAGGTGCACAGGGCTTTGACTGAAAGAGGCAGTGCATATTTAAGAGGCTTGAAATGTTGTGGTGATATGGGAACGTCTACAGCTTTCCGAGGCTTAGTTGCAAAGTCCTCAAAACTTAGGACAGCAGCGTCGAACGCTGCTTCCTGACGACACTTTTAGTCTGGAGCTTCCGCGTGGCTGTACGCGCCTCGGCTGCGGCAAGTGAAACTGTCGAACTCTGCTGGGCGACAATTGCGCGGCTGGCTTCTTCATGTTTTTGTCGTCTGACGCGTAGACTGCATGCGACGCGGACCTCAGAGGCTCGCTGGCGGAGGGCTCGTACCGGTCTGCGCGGCTTGACATACATATGTATATAATATACATACACATATGTAAACATACATGTATACTCTTATACTGTGGTGTGTACCAAGACAGGTATATATATATATATATATATATGATTGTATGTCCCCCGACCTCCGAAGATTTGACAAGTCGACCGAGGAAAAACGACTTGCCGTTGCTGCTGGTCAACCGCCAGGCCGCCAAGACCGAAACCCTCAGCTAGCCTTGCACAACACCCTCAGGGCCCTAAAAGGCCCGGAGGCCTAAACCTTAGACCGTAAACCTTAAGCTCTCAACCCGAAGTTGCACCCCGAACCCCGAATTCCGGAACCCCCTAAACCCCCACAATTCTGCAAAAACCCTAGCATTGCGCGCTGGGCCTTTGTTGAAGTCTAAGGTCAGAACCATGGGACCTTCGTATGGTCCCTTACCCTTGTAGGGATCCGAAGTAAGGGGCCTCATGACATATAATATAGTTTACATAAGGGTTATATAACAAGGGACCGAAATTGAGGGTCCATACTTCGGATCCGCTATGAGGTCCGAGCGCAAAGAGATGCTTTGCTTTACCAGCCTTCGCGATATCGAGCACAGGCCTACAAGCGGATCAAGTACAGCGAAAACTGGTCCCAAGAGTTCAACAGCAGCTCGTGCATTTTGGAAAATGGAGGGTTTAGGGTCTCGGGTTAGGGTTTAGGGTTCAGGGTTTAGGGTTCAGGGTTTAGGATTTATAGGGTGTAGGCGGAATTCTCAGATGTTTCGGGGCCTTGGGCCCTCAAAATATGCCAACTGTGCAAGCCTGAACACATGGCATACGAGTCTGAGAGCTAAGGGATTATCCCAAAATAGCAGGGTTTAGGTTTTGGGGTTTGGAGTGTGGGGGTGTTTTAAGCCTTACAGGGCTTCAGGTTTGAAGACCTTAAACCCCTTAAAACCCTCAAATCCTCCTAGCCTGCCGAAACCTCCCTTCAACCCCCACAAACCCTCCCCCCACCCCCACCCCCTGAGCCCCCTAAACCCTAAGCCTAAACCCTAAACCCCTCAACCGCTTGGCACCCTAGAAACCCCCAAAGCTCCGTAAAGAAGGGGCCTTCAGAAACAACCCGGACACGTATTCACCTTTATATCCAATATATAACCCCTATATAACCCCTACATGCACCTTTCTAGTCTCTATTTACCTAAGTAGCCCCTACATTACCCCTAAGGTCCCTTGTAAAGGTCCCTCCTTTCGTCCCTTGAGAGAAAGTCCCCAGGCTGGGTCAAGAAGCAAAGAATGGAAGATGCCCATCACTTCATGGTCTACAGCTGCCAGGAGCAGTTCTTGCTTCTCGGCCAATTATTCCCATTTGGGGGGGGGTTCCTACTTTTTGGGGACATTGTGTGTTTTTTTTTTTGGGTTTGGTAATGTGCCTCTTGGTTTCGGGGTCATCTACGCATACCTCAGCCCTAAGGCCCTTAAAGCCCCTAAACCCCCTTCAGTCCCTAAAGCCCCTAAACCCCAAAACCCCCTTAACCCCGTAAAGCCCCTAAACCCCCTAAACCCCCTAATCCCCGAAACCCCCTAAGCCCTCTAAACCCTCCAAAGCGCCTAAACCCCCTAAAGCCCCCTAAACCCCCCTGAACTCTCTAGACCCCTGAAGCCCCTAAAGCCCCTAAACCCCCAAAACCCCCTAAAACCACGAAACCCCCTAAACCCCCGAAACCCTAAACCCTCTATCTAAACCCTGTAAACCCTCTAAACCCCCTACCTGTCTCCAGTTCCCAGCTTTCCCTTCCCCAAAGCGCATTGCGGCACAATGTCGAGATACGAATCCTCCACTGTGTGAAGGACTAGGTATCTTGCATCCCCCAAAAAATTTAAGGGATCATATAAAGTTCCTAATTCCCTCATTCTCTATGAGCCCCACGACTAGGTCGATTCTTTACCCTCATGTCGGGGTAGACGAGACGGAGGACATCGGGAAGCAAAAGGCTTTCAAAAGGGCCAGACAGGGTACAGGGTCCCGGGTGTAACCCTGGTGTAACATCACCATCATGCATGCTATTGCTGGTATGGCTACCGTGGCCACTTTGTTTTGTTACTGACATGAACATGTTGGAGGACCTTCGCGATGTGACATTCACCGCCTTCCCCTTGCTCATCGTGCAGGCATACTATACTATACTATACTATACTATACTATACTATACTATACTATACTATACTATACACTACTATACTATACTATACTATACTATACTCATCTATTCACAGAATCCTGTTAAGAGCATGAAGCACATGTTTTCTTCGCACACCCCCACCCTGCAGGCAAGGAGTTTGCAAGCTCACTCTGGGTCTGGAGTTGGGCACTTCAGGGATTCTGTGAGGATACTCTGGAGTCCCAAATAATGTTGGGGGGGCAACTCCAAGGCTCGGGTTTGGGCTCCAGCACTCACAGACTTTGTGTGGGGGGACTCTGAAGTTGGGGTTGGGCATGCCAGGGACGATGGGAGAAGAGTTTTGAAATGTAACAAGCCCACTTGCGAGGGTGGGGAGTAATAGCAGAACTAGCATACTAATACTGCAATGGTGTAGAAAGTCTGTCTGGGTAGGGCAAGGCTGGGATCTCGGGTTTAGGGTTTAGGGTTTAGGATTTAGGGTGGGGGTGATTCATGCCGTCCCTAAACCCTAAACCCTAAACCCTAAACCCTAAACCCTAAACCCTAAACCCTAAACCCTAAACCCTAAACCCTAAACCCTAAACCCTAAAGCCTTCAAAGCCCACGATCTCCAGCACAGGCCCAGCTGGTTGTCGAGAGGGACGACCACGCGGCCATCCGGATCTGGGATGAAATCATCTGGCAGCTCCCGGTCTCAGAAGAGCTTGGGCTGGTTCTTCTCTACCCTAAACCCTAAACCCTAAACCCTAAACCCTAAACCAACCCTAAACCCTAAACCCTAAACCCTAAACCTGGTTCCCGTTTAAGGGTTTAGGAATATTTGGCTCCGTATTTTCATCGGAACACGAAAAATCCATTATGTAGAGACATCGCCTCGTAGGGTGTTCCAACCATTTGAACACCTCTTTTGGAGATGTTAATTGTACTCAGGATGGTTGGTTCTATTTTTGGACACCGATGGGGTACCCGATTTCAAGAAATGGTACCCCCTTAGACGCCCCAGATTGATTTGAATCCCCTAAACGGACCCCCAAAAAGGGTACCCCTTGTTTTGGAAACCCCAAATATGTCCTAGTAGTATAGATTTGGGAGGTGGTGCAGTGATATCCAGGGTCTTGGATGTTTCTGGATTGGATGCTTGTGGTTGGGAGAGAGGGACTTGCAGATAAGCACAGCAGGCCAAACACGCTGAAGCCACCATTGTAATACCATTATTTAAACAAGGAACATAATTTGGAATAGTCTGCTGCAGCCTGAATTCGATTTCTGGAGCAGTGGTAAGTATAGAGCCTGAGAAGATTGGAGCTAAATCCTCAAGACAAAATACATCGACCTTGTATTTGATATCATGATGAACTCACAAGTTTTCGCGCAAAGCCCCGTCCCAAACAATGCTTAGGCCAAATGGTATGTCTACGGCCTCTGCTTTAAACGCCGGTCATTCTCAGTTTCCAAAGTAATTGGTCTAAACAAGCCGGTGCGGCGCAACGCTCAGGACCGCAGGGGGCCCCCAAAATCCTCGGAGTGCCCAAAGATCCCGAAAAGCCTCTAGACACAAAAAATCCCGGAAGGCAAATGCTCAAAAAAAGGGTAATTTTCTTGATTCGGACGACTGCGATTGGTAGTCATCATTGTTGAAACCTCAGACTGCAACACGTGTGCAATTCGAACAGTTACTGTCGCAACTTGCGCTGGCCTGTCGGGCGTTGCCCCCTTCCACTTTTGCAAACGTCAATGAATGTTATAGCTGGTAACGCCGTGCAGATTATCAAGCACTCGTATATGTCTGTCACATGCACGTACGTTTTTCTTGTTAATGCCCCAAAACAAAAACCGGGAGGTCCAAAAACGTGCTCTGTATCTTCAGACGGGGCGAAGATAGTGCCCGACAAGTTCTTTGCGACATGGCTGCGTGGGAGGCCAAGCTACAGATTTCTCAGCTCTGTGGAGACGGTATCTTGCAATGCACCAGCGTGGAAGCTGCGCCCAGAAAAGACCAGGCGTTTTGCAACCACGCCACTACCCACTGGGCCTCTATGTAGAGGTGCCAGAGCAAGAGCAAGTCCAAGCCTTCAAAGCTAGGATGTGCCAAATCCTTCATTAGAGTGGAAATCTCTCTGCCAACAGGGCACCCCTGCAAGCGTGCTTTGATGGGTCCTGCGTTGCTAAGAGGTCCCTGAAGACCCATTCAGCCACCCTCAGAGCTGCCTTGGTCAGAGCTGGAATTGTTCCAAATCTATTTGGGTGCTTATGGCAGTTGCTGCACATCTGCAGGGCCAGCTGCCAGCTGCAACAGCCTTCGGCCTGGGTGGCAAGTGAGGGACCTGCAGCAGATGTACCTGTTTGGCCTTGAGGTGGGAGGGCCACCCTGCCCAATTTCGTTGAGGGTCAGGATGCCAAGGCTTTCTCACCCACCGGGGCTCAGTCCCCTGATGAAAGGCATTTGCTGCTAAAAATTTCCATGGGCTCTGACTCTCAGGGCTTGGCTCGGGGTTCTCTTGTTTTCCCACTGCATGGTATGGACGCGTGACCTCACCGTGGAAGGCATTCACCCACACCCTGGGCCCGCCGCCCAAGGCGGCCTGACGTGCTGGAGTCTGAATGTTGAAGGCGCCGCCAAGGCTTTCCACTTCGTACATGAACTAGCCACGCACAAGCCTGCCTTCACTTGCGTGCAAGAGGTTCGTTTATCGCAGCGTCAGCTCGAACAATGGAAGAGCCTGGCTGACAAGTATGGTCATAGGACCTGGGCCACCACTCCTCACATCACTAGCGCAGTGCACGGGACTCCGCTTTGTCAAAGAGGCCTTCTGGTTGCTGTCAGGCGGGACATTTCAGCCCATGTTTTCGTCAGGCGCGAGGAAATTGGGGCGAGCTGCCCCTCATTGCAGTGCACTCTCACATGCTGGGTTGCCTTTACCGCTCCCCAGCGGTAGCCGTGTGGGCTTTACGAGCAGGTCTTCGGATTGAGTTTCTCTAGGAGATTGGAACGATATACCTACAGAAAACGAAGCCTCGTGCGTAGGTCAGATTATTGCAGCGCGTGGGAGAACTCAGCACAGCTTGCTTCCTACGAGATGGAAAGGTCACCGCTGCATCGACTATGCTCCCTAGTCTCAGATATGAGGTGTGTGGAGATCACAGGCGTTTTCAATGTTTTGGCACGCAAGCATCCCGCATCATGCCCCCGCACTCTTGACTGCGCTCTGCGTTATGAACGTCCCCCCAAGACCTCCAAAGAGGCTTGGCGCAAAGCACTTGAGGAAGAAGCGGATGACTTCAGTGTCCTGTCTGGACTTGGAGCTGAAGAAGAGTGAAAGGCCTTCTGCGCCAAGGTCGAAGCCTTGTACAACTCTTGTGCAATAAAGCCTGGGTCAAGCTCGGTGGTTCAAACCTTCAAAGCAGTTGTAGAAACAAGGGTAGCTTGCCTAACGTTGTGCCCGCAATTGCAAACAAGCCCGGACTTCGTAGTTTTCGAGCTCGAAGGCTTGCAAAATGTCTTGGACGAGCATGGCAGGCCGAGCAGCTTGAGGCGAGACACGGTGTCTCCAAACGACTGGAGGAAAAGTAGAAGCGAGCCCTTTCACGGGGCATCACCTGAAAAGGCAGTTGGAGTCTTCTTTGCACTGAGGTCCAAGATGCCTTGGAAGCAGAATACAAAGATCTAAGAAAAGATAACCTCAACAGTCTGCCCTACGATGCGCAGCAGATGATCCTGTATGTGACATGGCGGTCCTGGACTTCCTAGAGTTGCCTTTGAGGTACAGAGGCCAGGAAGTAAACTAAGTACTCCTGGAGAGCGTAATCAGGTCCAGGGACTCTGCGCTCGCCAATTGCTTGCTTATGTGTGAACAGTGGCGGGCACGTGTCCCACGCTCGGCTGTGCTCGTGCTGAGACTATGGTCGAAGGTTGGGGGCTTCCGAAGAAGGAGGGGACCTCATCGTTTCGGAGCCCTCGTTTGATTTCCCACCGCGCGTTTCCGCCGCTGGACCGCGCGTACAATTGCATACTGGTTTCCCCTATTGTTTTGGCTGTGTTTCTGAGGTTTCCGGGAGGCCAGGCCTCCAGGTTCCCGGAAGGTTTGCGGGGTGTCTCCCAAAAACCATGGAAGGCCCCAACAGGCTAGGAGATGCCAAGGAGAGTGAAAGGCCTTCAACCACCCCCGGACCAAAAATCGCCAAAACGTTTCGGTCAAAGCTTTCGTTCAAAGGTATCGTTCCAGCCCTAAGCCCTAAACCCTAAACCCTGAAGGTCCGGAAAAGCACAAAAGGCCCTAGTAGATCCCAAGCTCCCGGGCCCTGCAACGTACGAGATAGGTTCTGAAGCAGCAAGTCGTCAAAACATTCGGTCAAAACTTTGGGTCAAAAAGTCATTGGGGCCCGAGCCGTTATCAACTCCTATATCAAAATGGGGGGTTTACGAAAATAGGGGACCTCCCCATCTTGATCCCCAAATACTTGGATTGCCTTGCAATAAGGACCCCAACGAGGTACCCCCTCTTTTCGGAAATCCCTAATCCCTAAACCCTAAACCTTAAGCCTTAAACCTTACACCCTAAACCTTAAACCCCGATATCATGCTCTCATATGGATGAGAGCGAAGGTACTTGGACCTGGCGAATAATAAGGGACGCCTCGCCTGCTTCCACCTCTGCAACCGGGCCGGCCAGCGCATCTCCCTCTTGGGCAACGCCTCCTGCCGGCACTTTCTTAGCGCACATTGTGGCTTATGCGAAAGTAGACAAGGGTGCTGTGCAGTTTCGATGCCTTGGGTTGAGAGTTTAGGTTCAAGGGTTCAAGGTGTAGAGGGATCTTTCCGGGGTCAGAGGGGACGGTTCGGTCTTCGCACTCTTCGCCCATGGGGCAGGGACTCTCGACCCTAAACCCTGATCGAGGAGATTTACCAGAAAGTGCCGCAGAACGAGTTCCCCTTGTCCATCGGGTTGGAGGAGAGGGACGCAAGCTTCCATCTCAGCCAAAGTCAAAGGTTGCAAGCATGCCTCAGTCGCAGCCTTGGCCATACTCTTACAGCCTAGAGTCCGATTGCCCAGAAGATTTCTTCGCCCCTGCGGGAAGGAGTCCTACGACCTCTGTTCTTTCTGGAATCTGATACGCTTCTTGAGGGATGCCGACATCAAGCTTGTCCGGGGTAGTTTCTCGGAGCCCTCAGTTCGGCTTTTGGCAAAGTTCACCTTTTCCCTGAGTGAGCCTGGACCCTAAACCCTGCAAAGCCCCCAAGGATCATCTTGTGGTTAATATTCTCCCTTATTGGGTTTCAAGAGCATGCCATGTCTCGGAATATTTTTCAGAGAATAGCTCTTCCAGGGCCATAGTTTGGTCCGGGATTGTGGGATTTTCAGGCTACCTGCGCCAGCTGCAACACGAAGGCCGACCTTGGCCGCGCCGCCAGGAAGCCGAGAAGCCCTGTGGCACTCGGAAGGGTACTTAGGGCTGTCTCCCGACAAGAAGGCCTAGACCCCGACAAGTCAACAACTTCGACAGTGGCCCACAAGTTCAAATCTTGAAGGCTGCCTAATGTTTGCAGCTGCCTGTTGCCTTGTAAACCCAATGTTGTACTCAGACGAAGGAAGGAAGAAGCAAGAAGAGGGTCCGGCTCAGTTTTCATGCCCTTGTGCCTTGGCAGAGCTCTAGTGGGATGTTTGTGCGAAATTGCTATTTGGGATGGTTCTGGACGTACGTCACCCCGAACACTCCTAAACCCCCTAAAGCCCCCTAAAGCCCCCTAAACCCCCTAACCCCTCTCAACGAGGTCCGAGAACATCTTCGGCATTCCGATTGTGGCCGTCTCTCATGTCTGGGAGACGCGCGAGCATCCGGATCCGCTCTTTGTTTTGGAAGATTTTGGCGCTTAGGGCTTAGGTTTTGGGGTTTAGGGTTCAGTGTTTAGGCTAGCTAGGAAACCCCAAGCCCTCAAACTTGAACCCTAAGTGACTCACTAGCCCCAAAATCAAGGCTTCCAAGTGCGCTGCATGCAGAAGAAGAAGAAGTCTTAGAAGCCCAAGCCAGTACCGGCTGAGATGTGGACTTCGTGCTTTAAGCTCCCTCTTCCTGTTTCGAGAGGTAATCAAGTGTAAAGAGATTCCAGGGGGAGAATGTTTGTACTTCCTTCAAGTGGAGTCAGCAACCCAAGACCCCCAAACGCCTAGCCCCTCGCGGTTTCAAAGCGCGCGCGAGTGCGCGGTTAGGTTCAAGCATCAGCTGGGGCAGATCGTGAAGTGGATGGACGCCCATCCATCAGCCCTGGCGCCCGGCCTGCGTTGGGCCTCATCTTCAGGCCGTTTCGAGCACGCGTGCCTTTGCCTGCACATTTGGGACCCACCTCGAACCCCAAACCCCAAACCCTAAACCCTAAACCCTAAACCCTAAACCCTAAACCCTAAACCCTAAACCCTAAACCCTAAACCCTAACAGCAGCGGAGGCCCCCCCCTTAAGGGTGCCGGGAGAGATCCGTATGGAAGTCGAGGTTCTTCATCGACTTCATCAGCCTGTACCAGTACAAGCGTGCGGCCCTCAAGTTCCCTGGAAGCCCCGAACTTTCGGGTTTAGGGTTTCGGGTTCAGGGTTTGGGGGGGTTTAGGGTTTAGGGTTTGGGGTTTAGGGTTGCGGGTTTAGGCCTGGTGGCTATGTTGGCTTAATCTTTTTCTGGTTCTGAAGGTCGGGAAGTAGGGAATTCAGTGCTTAAGAGACTGAGGTACTTAAGTTGCTTCAGAGACCATATCGTGAGAAGCCAGAAAGACAGAGGGCCGATATTTTTCGATGTAGGGATATATGGGGATAGCTTTTGGGGCCCCTGCGTAGGTCCTGTTTCACACTTGCTCAACATCCAAAGCCCCGGACCATCTGATTGCGAGCCTCCCTCCAGGTGGCACGGAGCAGGAGGTACAGAGCTTCCAACAGGCGATGAAGAACATGCACGTGCTGCACCCTGGCCCCAAATCCCGATATTCCCAATAAACCCTAAACCCCTGGCACCCCAGAACCATTTAACACCCGAAAAAGAGGCTCGAAGAGGCTCGAAGAGCCTCGAAATCCGCTGGAAGTCCTTGTGCCCTAGACGTTGAGCCCGAAATTCGAGCCCAAAAGCCTTGAAGTACCCATCTAGGGGTCTAGGGCTCATGATTGTGTATATACATATATCTGTATGTATATGCATACACATATATTTCTTTCTCTTTTTTCTTTGGGGGGGGGGGGGTCAGGGTTTAGGGGCTTCTGAGTGTAGAGAGCTGCCCGCTTCCTGCACAGCAGAGCCTTTTTTCCAACAGGTACGTGCACGAGTGCACGCAGACCTGGCGCATTCAGACCCTGACCCCTCCGGAGGAGGCCGAGAAGCAGCTCCTGGGGTGCAAAAAGCAACTACACTTTGGGACGTTCCCCCTGATGCTTACTAAGAGTCCTTAAAGGGGATTGTAATGGGGGGGTACTACAATCCCCCATGAAGGACTGTTCGTACAAGGGGGAACATCCCAAACTACAATGTCCCTTAGGAGTTATGTACTGTTGTTGTTCATAAACAGCCCCAAGGGTGCATTCAAAGCATTTTGTATTTTTAATATTATGGTTCTATGGGAAGTATAGGCAAAGGGGGGCAAGTGGGGCTGCTCCGTCAACAGGGCGCCTGAATGAATGTCGCAATATGTCGCAATCACAACAAGGAAGCACTTTGAGACAAAAACTAAACCTTACCGCCTACTTGGAGGCTCATGGGTACTTACAAGTAGGGTTATAGAAGTTATAGCCATGGTTATAACCTCACTTAGTTAGGGTTCTTAAAACACTACTTAGACATACCTATGAACCTTCAAGCAAAAAGCGCGCAAGGGTCCACCTTTGCAAGGGGCAAAGCTTTCTGAGGCTCTTCACGCACTTGTTATGGACACTTGGGCTTTAGGGCGCATAGGGATTCTCAGAGGATTGCATTTAGGGTTTCCCTAAACCCTAAGCCCGAAACCCTAAACCCTAAAAGGGGTACGTCATGTAGGGTTTAGGGGCATTCCTAGGTCCTTGACTTGCTGCCTTTCTAGAATTCCTGCATGGCTAAGGCTAAAGGCCGCGTCGAAGATCCCCGTCTACTACGAGGAAGACGGCTGTGTGACCGCCCGCCCGATTTTGGGGCTCAAAGCCAACCGGATCCATGGCTAAGCTCTGGCTTGGACATCGGGAAGGTTGTGGGGACTTGGGGCTTCTTCAGGCTTGCTGGGCTTTTGGGGTTTATGGGTGTAGGGGGCATTAAAGAGTCTTCAAGCTTGCAGGTTTTTTTTTTTAAAATGCGGATATACCGACGTCCTTGTGCTGTGTGAACCTGCTACATCCGAGCTGGGGGCTACAAGTCCTAAATCCCCAAACTCGGCCAAGGACCCCCTACGACCGGCTCCTTGGTTTGGGCTTTCTCGGGTTCAAGGGGTTCGGGTTTAGTTGAAACTTCAGGACTTGAGGCTGCAAGAGGTGCAAAGCGGCCTCTGTATCCCGCATCGCTCTGTTTTACGCATCATGCAGGGTGTATCTCTTGATGTGGCGAAGTCGGCCTCGCCCTCATTACATAGCTTCTACATGGTTCTGATGTAGCAAAGTTGTTGTTTTGTTATCGTTTGGACAGCATGGCGTTTGGGTGGCTGTGCTTGGCATATTGGCAGCACTTGCTGGGTGCATATGCAATGGCATCCCGCGAGGGCTTCTACTTGGTGGAACCATGTTACTCTGTTCTCAGAAGCATTCGAGCCGTCTAGTTGAAGAGTATCTGTTTTGTGGACTATCGGGAGCGTCCCTGAAAGGAACGTCCGTTTACTCTGTGGAACAAATTAATAAACCTCCCAAACCCTGCAAAATACTAAGCCCAAACCCAAACCCTAAACCCTAAACCCGAAAAACCGCAAACCGAATATTCACACGGTGATTGGGGGCCTGACAAGTAGTCAACACACAGAAAAGACGTGCCAAAAACGCTCGCGTCCGCAGCAAATCCGACCGTTTGATCTTATGCCCTAAATTCCGGTCGACTTTGGGATTGCCTTGCCCTGATGTGCAAATCCGCCTCTGGTGTGTATTTCGCCAGGGGTTTATTAGGGTTTAGGGAGTGAGAATGCCAATGTATGCGAAGCCTTGAGTGCCAGACCCCTTGCCTTATTTTGGCCTCTCTCGCTCTCTCGTTCTCTCTACAGATTTGTCGTCTCATGATTTTGTTCAAGCGCTGTAGTCTCTGCTTCGAGGAGAACTCTCCCAGAGTTCCGAATTGCCTTTCTGAAGAAACATAGGGACCACCTAGGCGCGGCTGGTGCCAAGCAGAGCTACAGTGGTCCTACTGCAGGCACACGCAATCATGACTTCTGAGAGGGAGTTAGAGAAGTTCAAACCTCTGCCCACCCCTCCTCAACTAGAGAACCGGAAGCTTCTGTACCCGATTTCCAAAGCAGCACAAAAGCCCTAAACCCTAAACCCTAAACCCTAAACCCCAAACCCCAAACCCTAAACCCTAAACCCTAAACCCTAAACCCAAAAAGTGCAGGACCTCGAACGAGGCCACCTCGGTGGTGGACGATTCCAGCGGCTACAACGGCAAGTCGCCAATGCCTCCGAAGCTCTCCTAGAGCTGGATCCTAACATCCTTGGTTGGGTTTGGGTAGGGTTTAGGGTTTAGGGTTTAGCGTTTAGGGTTTAGGGTTTAGGGTTTAGGAGGGTTTAGGGTGTAGGGTTTAGGGTTTAAGGGGCTTTGCGGGGCCAGTATGGCACCCTGAGCCGAGGAATGTTTTTAAGGAGCGCGTGGCCAAGAAGGAGCTGATCTTCACGCACCGCAGCGACGCTGAGCAGGTGATACGCCTGCAGGAGAAGGTGTTTATGGAGAAGTCCGCCGTGTGCCAGGATCGAGAAAACTGGGTCCCTGTTGGCTATAATTGCTTTACATGTTTGTCATATCAAATTCCCAATAAGGAATAAAAAGTGATAATCTGTAATATCACCCCAACAAGGACGCAGGAAAGGGGAGGAGGGCATATGAGAGCTGAGAGAGGCACAGAGTACGATGGGCCTCTCACTGGTGCCTTCTGCTGTGGGGAGCCCCTACTTTGCCTTTCTTCCCTTTACAGTAGGGCTCAGTAGGGTTCTTTCCCATCTTTAAAGGGCCCCCATTTGGTTTTCATAGGAAGTTGGGCTAGGAGCTGACGCTGAGTGATCTGCCGGCAGATGAGCTTGTCGTGCTGGCGGCTGCTCTCCCTTTCTATCGGGGCTTGCAGACGCTGACGCTGAAGAACTGCTCCTTCTCTTGCTGTTCAGCACGGGCTTTTTCTCCTTTCCACTTGTGTGGAGATTCTCAGTGCTTGAGCTGCTGATCGGCTTTATGTTTTGAAGTCTTGGGGTTGGGCTCCTTGGTTCACGGTTTGTAAGTGCCCTGTGTCGCAAGGGTTGGTGTTTTGGGGTGAAGGGGGGGGCTGATGGTGGCAAAGGCCGCTTCAACCGCGAGCAATCGGGGGTCCTGGCACAGGGGCTGGACAAGTCCAGGCGGAACGGAGAGATTTTGTGCTTCCGGGCTATTCAGGGGTGTTGAAGGTGCCCCGAAAGCCCTCAAGCCGATTTCTTCTTGCGGGCGATTCAGGGGAAATTTGAAGGTGCCCAAAAGCCTGACGCTGAAAACTCTGAACCCTTTATCCTCAGCCTCCCCATGTCGCTTGAGTCGAGGCCTGGAAAGCTTTTGGGTGCCGAAAGATGGGGGGGTTTAGGTTCAGGGTGCAAAATCAGAGTTCCCGTTTTGGGGGTCTAAACGCAGCTTGCCATACTGACCTGGAGGAACATTTTTGAGTTGGGTACAGGGAGGCGCTCGGCTGTACAGAACCATGAGAGCAGTAAGGACAGTGATTTGCGAACACGCACGCGCTTCAACATACCTTTGCCTGAAGCCGTGAGAAGGTCTTCCAAAATCCCCCCGAGGTCCTAAGCCTCACCCCAGCAGCGTTGACCTAAACCGAAGACCCCTGAATATGAAAGCAGCATCCCGCAGGCTGAGACGGCTGGTGGTCTCCTCCTGCGAGGTTCTTCACTTTCCCGAGGCCACCCCGAGCATGAGGTGTCCGCGGCTGTAAAGGGTTTCACGGTTTAGGGTGCTGTCTCCTGGAATTCCTTGGTTTCTTCGGGGTTCATCAGTTTCTGAAACCCAAGGAACCTAGCTCGTAAACCCTAAGCCCCTAAGCCCCTAAACCCCAAACCCTAAACCCAAAACCGAAGCCCGAAACCCTAAACCCTAAACACCCCCTGCGAGAGGCACTGTCGACACTGCCTGGGGGCAGATGGCAGCTTGGCAGGGGCGCTGGTTATCAGGAAATTTAGGAAGCAGGGTTTAGGGTTTAGGGTTTAGGGTTTAGGCTTCAGGGTTTAGGGTTTACACGACTCAGGGTGAAGCATTCTGCGCTGTCCCGGCTTGGAAGTGTTCACAGGAAAAATGTAGGGAATGGGGCTGTGTTGGGTTGTCAGTGCCATGACATGCAGCCGGACATGTGAGTTGGGTGCGACTTCTTAAGGTATATTCGGGTGCGTGAGGCTGCGGGATCCTCGGAGGTTTGCCCGCGGAGTGGGCTGTTTGCGGCAAACGCGGGGTTGTTCTGCAGGACATCTTCAAATCGGCATACTCTGGATGCAGCATCCTAAGCTCGAAGCCCTAAATCCTACACCCTAAGCCCGAAACCTTGCACCCCCATTGCGAGGGTGTTCCCGGTAGCTTTCATGCAAAGAAGCCCAGGAGGCTGGAGATTCTGGAGCTGCGTGGGTGCAAATTCTCAGGCGCGACTTTTTGGGAGGCTTTTGGGGGGTCAATTACGTAAAATTCATTGTAAACGCTTGCGCGCGCCGCCTCGGCAGCCTATGTGGAGATGACGTTTTTTCAGGGGGGTCTCAGGGGGTCCCAGTGGGGGGGAAAGAAGGGGCAACATTTCGCGCGGAAGGTTGGGTAAGGGGGCAGGAGACCGGATCCGGCTCGGCTCGTTCCAAACGTCAGGAAGCCGATTTCAGAGGGGGGGGGTTTAGGGTTTAGGGTTTAGGGTTTAGGGTTTAGGGTTTAGGGTTTAGGGTTTAGGGTTTAGGGGGGAGGGTTGGAGGGCCTTTGGAGGCGCCGGATCCTCCACGGCATCGGTTTGCAGCTGCTCCCAGCGATCATCGGGACAGGGAGGGGGGGGTTGGCGTCACGCAACTTGGAAAAGGGAAAAGGTTAGGGGGAAGGAGGCCGGATCCGGGCCTGCTTGTTCCAGATGCTTCTCGGCAGGAAGCCCAGGTAAATTAAAGCTGAATTTAAGTTGAAGTAAAAAACAATCAAGAGTCCGCAGCATTCGCTAGATGAATGTGAAATTAGATTATTGGGGATCATGTCAGGCGCAGGACTCTTTGGCTTTCTCGGGTCCGCGTGACTTCCTAGAACCTCCTCGGGCTCCCCCTAAACCCTAAACCCTACACCCTAAACCCTAAACCCGAAACCCTAAACCCCACCCAAAGCCCTTGAAAGGCCTTAGCGATGGCGTCAGCGCGTGCCAGAGACTGGCGCCGCTGCTGGCACCTCGGAAAATTGGTGGTCCCCCTGTAATGATGCTACAATAACCCCCCAAAACCCTATTCTAATTATTCTTGGGACATTTTATGCTTTCACTTTTTTGGGGGGTTTCCGAAATTTGGGGTACCGTATTGGGGGTCTATTTTACAAGGGAATCCTACCATTTGGGGGTTCATTTTGGGGGTCCCCTATTTTCGTACACCCCCTTTTGGGTTTAAGAGGATCATATTCAGGAATCTTTTCAGGGTTCTCAGATATTAGTACTTGAGAAGAGTCGCTCGAAATCCTCAACCCTCTAAGCCTTAAACCCTATAAGTATCTTTCAAGGGAATCCCGGGAAGCTTTCAGGGGCCAGGCCTAAACCCTACACCCTAAACCCCAAGCCCAGAACCCTAAACCCTAAACCCTAAACCCCAAACCCGAAACCCTAAACCAAACCCTAAACCCTAAACCCTGCACCCTTGAGACATTTGAAAAAGTCCGCCCCCCTGTGGGGACCCAGGCGAAGTCGCCCTGGCTCCGGGAGCTCATTTTGGTTGACTGCGAGACCGTGCGGCCCTTTTTGGAGGCTCCTGCAAGACAGCTTCTTCTGCTTTTTCTCTCTTCAAGTTTTTTGGGTTTTGGAGGGTTGTTCTGGTTTAGTTTTGGTTAGGGTTTTGAGGGTTGTTCCGGTTTAGGGTGGCTGTTCGGGTTCATAAGGTTTAGGGTTTGGAGGCAGACGAGGAGTACATGCCTCTGAATTGTCATAGCGGCTTGAAAGGAGTCCCTGGACTTGGGGGGACCCCGCCCCCCCCCCCCCATGGAGTGCATAAGTTCCACACTCCCAGGATATCTCGCACCTTGCAAAGTTGCACCTGCGACAGGCTCTATCCGAGGTGATCAATCTGGCCTCCTCTTTGTGCCTTAGTGATTGCTAAGTTGCCATTTCAGGTTCTTGGGCGGCGCACTCTGTGAACGAAGGGATTACGAGTACACCATGCGGGGCAGAGGGTATCATGGCGTGTGTGTCAGACGGCCCCTGTCTGATGTCTGAGTGAGGTACAGCATTACCTTGGACAGGAATGGCATGACTGACATTGACGCCAAGGCTCTCGAAAAGAGCTTGAGTTGAGTTGCGCAGGTGTTTTGTGTACTTGTGCGGAAGAGAAAGTCTAAAATGTACGCCGGGCACCGAATGCGCAGGGTGACGCTGGCTCGGAAACCGTGAGCCTTACAGCTCGCTGACTTCTTAGACCCTCCTCCTCCCAAGTCCTCAAGTCACAGGTGGTGGCACAGATGATCAACAGAGGAGGCAGCCTGCGAAAGGTTTTCTTGCCGAGACTCGCTGCAAGCTCTCCAGCCGTCCAGGGTCGCGGCTAAGTGACCATAGGCACGCCTCCAACCGCATGCAGTAAGGGGTTATCTTCATCTTTTGTGCCTGAAATGCTCACTGCCTGTCGGTGTTGTGTGCAATTTGGGGCTCGCCTGAGATGCCACTGGGGTGTTCTAAGGGTGGCCTACCGAGGCCCTGAACCCCTAACCCTTTACCCCTAACCCCCGCCCGAAGCCATGAACCATTTTGCCATGGGCGCAGAGGAGGCGTAGCAGGTGGCAAGCCTAGTGCTCCCGAAGTGCAGAACGTTCGACCATCGCGATCATCCCGAAACGATGTCTTCGTTCATATTTTTCCGCTTTGGGCCGCGGTTAAGAGCTCTCGTAACGTTAGTGTCCCCAGTTCTCAGAATTCTAGCAGATTCTAGCATGAAGATTTCCACAGCAAGTGAGGGTTAGTTCAAGAAGAGATCCCACCATTCCCCGCCCGCTCTCCTGGACCTCGCCGCAGTTGGCACCCCTGCTGCAAACAAAGGAACAATCAGATCCGCGATCCTGGTGCCAAGGCTTCCTATTCAATTTTCGTGACATCTTTAGGGATGTTCCCCTATTCGAATCCCTATGAAGGACTGTTGGTGTAAACGGGGGAACATCACAATCTTTAAGAATATGCAAGATTGCAGACATTCAAAGCACCTGTCAATTATACTCCAGTGCTTGTAGCAGTTGCAGATTGTTTCCAATTGCTCTATACATACTTGTGATGACGGTTTAGGGAAGAGGGGTTTAGGGGGTTGTGATTTGCGGGTTTAGAGCAGTAGAGGGTTTAGGGGTTTGGGGTCTTTTAAAACGTGTTGCTCGGCGTGATGCGGTTTTAGGGCTTAGGCAGCCGATGTTCAGGGGCAGTTGTAAGTGGGGTCAAAACTAGGATAGCTATACTTAGAACCTCACTTAGGGCACTAATAGCCTTTCTGAGACTTACCCATGAACCTGGTAGCGGCGTTCCCCGTGACCGCAGAGGTTTGCAGAGGCAGACCGAAGCACATATTGTGGAAATGTGCACTTTCCTCGTGTTTTTGAGGGTTGGCCATTTTAGGGGTTGCGTGGCCACCGCAAAAATGTATCGTTTGTACCACTGCTTCCAGCTTTGAGGTGCCTAAAACCATGGCAGGCGTGGGGAATTCAGGAGACACAGAACGGAGTGCTCAAAGCGAAAACTTTTCGAAGCCCTGTTAGACAGACGTAGAATGTTTCAGTGTGAACCCTGCACCCTTTCCCGTGTTAGGTTTCAGAAGGGTGTGAGGCAGGCAAACTTTTTACAGACCCTGGCGTTTGCTTGCTTTGCCAAGGCTCTGAGAGCGTTCCAAAAGTCGGGACCATTGTTCTGGCGCCACTCAAAGCTGAGGACATAATCGAAGATTCAGGGGTTCGGCAATCAACGACCTCTTCAAGTATCTCCAGCAAACATCACGTGTGCTTCTGCTTTCGCCTTTTTTGGGCTTTGGCACGGACGCAGTGAACTGCATTTTCGAGTGGTTCATGGCCTGAAATCTGATTTTTCTCGCCTCAGCAGCGCATTTCCAAGCCTTACAGCCAGCAGCGTAAGGACCACCCAGACACACGCAGCCATGCTTGGGACAGGAGGCGGGAACCCGAAGAAAGCCGCCCTCCACAAGCTTCTTAAAACTCGTTTCCTGCAACATGCTATGTGTCAAAGGCGGGCCGGTATACAGGCCATGGACAAAGGGCACGGCAAGCCATGCCAGAATGGACATGGCTCGGTAAGCAAGGGAAAAGGTGCTTTGAGGAGATGCTGCGAGGAGAAGAGAATTGTGTAGTGCAGGGCGGGGAATGGACGGAACCAGCCCCCCTCCCACCACCCCACCAAACCCAAAAAACCCTTGCGGTCACCCGTGACGCCGCTAGCATGAACCTCCAGTTAGGGTGTACGGTTTGTGCCTTTGAGATTCTTTGAGAGGCCCTGACCTGCCAAGGTCGGCAGTGAGCTGAAACGCAGGGACTTGTCCCTCTGATAACGTATCTATAAAAGGGGCCTGTGATCTGGAGAAGAACCCCGAAACCCTAAAACCTAAACCCTAGACCCTAGACCCTAAACCCTAACATCTGTCCTTCGTTTGCTTCAAAAGGCTCGAGGGGGAGGAGGGGGCACGGTTTAGGGTTCAGGGTTTAGGGTTTAGGGTTTAGGGTTTAGGGTTTAGGGCACATGGGTCCACCCCCCGGCCAGGTCCTGGCCGATGCCCTCCAGTGCTCCCTTGTCCAGGAGATGGATCCTCGGTCTGCCTGGAGGAGGTGTTTGAAGCATTGTACTTAGGTTTAGGGTTTGGGGTTTGGGGTTTAGGGTTTAGGGTTTAAGGCTTCGGGTTTCGGGTTGAGGGTTCAGAGTACTATATAAATCGCACATAACTTTCCTGTCTTCTTCTTGATGATGATGATGATCATTTTTACATCGGGGGACAGTGGCTGTTTTGTGTGAAGGTGATGATGAAGCTGCAAATTGTTTTGGTGATTGCGTTTTTCTTGCCACGTTGGCCCCACTACTGTTTAGCAGGCCCAGGTAAAGGAGGTGTGTTCCCTCAGTTCCCACAGGATCTGAGACGCAACTGCATCGGCGCAGGCGGGGAGCAGGCCAATGGGCTCCGAAGGTTCTCTCTTGCACTTTTCTCGTCCTGTCTGTCTCTGCAAGGGAAATTCGGTTTAGGGTTTAAGGTTTAGGGTTTAGGGTTTAGGGAATGAGGTACCCGAAAACATCCTTTAAAAACGATACATGGGGTTGATAGGCGGTTGCCGCGGCATGCCAGCCCTCATACTTAGTTGGAAGTAGCTTTCATGATAAGGGTAATAGCATGGACATTTTTTGGGTTCCTATCTCTAAGTACACCCCAAACTCTAGACACTAAAGCCCCGGAACATGCCACTGTAGGATTCTTAGGGTTCCCCTTTAAGGGGGGTCCCAGCAGAGGCGTTGATCGACGCAGTCAAGAACTTCGAGCCGACGGGCGACAACCCGTGGCGGCCCAGCGTGGCGCTGCGCGACGCGTGACATGTTGCGGCCAGCGCGGTCGTAACGTGGGTTCCCACAAGTAAGCGGCAGACATTTTTTTGAAGGGGTTTTGCTTTGAATTCTGGGGTTTTAGGCGTGCCTGAATATGGCCTGTAAACCCTGATAGTGTTCAAAAGCCCATGGATCCCGCAGAATCCCCCCCCCCCTGCGATCCCGAGTCCTCATTGCTTCAAAAGAAACAAATCAATGCTCCGCCGAACCTTCCCCTGGTCTCTCACCTAAATCCTAAACCCTAAACCCTAAACCCTAAACCCTAAACCTTAAACCCTAAACCCGAAACCCCAAACCCCAACCTTGTTCTTGTGTCTCTCGCTCTCCAAACGCATCCAAGTACAGGGAGATACACAGGGGAAACACAGAGGCACAGCGGCTTAGGGTGTTAATGGGGTTTTCATAGGCTATTCATGGGGTTCTGAGGGCTTAGAGGGTTTAGAGGGCGAAGGGTTGCTTAGGTTTTGGAGCTTGGCCCAAAGGAGTGACCCAAATCCCCAAAAATCCTTACACAACCCCTAAGCCGCCCCATGCCCTGAGGGCGAAGGGTTGCTTAGGTCTTAGGATGGTTTGTAGCACAAGTTTTTAGCTCTGAGTTTCACCCCCTGCGGCAGACTTGAGCCTAAGAAGGGCGCGCAATTGCCGACAGGGCAGAGCCCCAGATCCGCTGCCCCCCCGATTTTCAGCCCAACCTACAGCAAACTCCAGAAAATTAGAGCTGGGATTCCCTTTAGTATACCTGTATGGGGATAAGGATGTTCCAACTTTTTGGGGGTTGCTGTACTGTAAATCCTAAATCCCTCGCGCCCTAAATCCTGAACCCTTCAACCGCTGATGATTTCAAGTAAGGTGTAAGCAGTACTGAGAGGGGCTTGACATATGCAGCTGAAGGCGCTGTCCGAAAAACCCGAACCAAGTCAGGACTTGAACGTCCGCCCGGGCTTAGCTCGGATTGTCGGTGAAGGTCCCCGTTGCAAGTGATTTGAAGTTTTGAATGTTGGCACGGCTTAGAAAGCACACGCCCTTAATTTGCATAGGGTATACAAGGGGTATGCATATAGGGGTACCTCTTTCAGGGCCAAAAACTCGGGGACCGTGTAACTACCCTTAGATCCAGTGGCCCTTCACTGCGATGTTTCTCTAGGCGTGAGAACTCCCGCACGTAGTGTGCGGGAGCCACGATGCTCCACTCTAGCCATGCGAAGCCATGCGAAGCTCTACTCGATTTCTGAAAAGAGGAGGGGGGCCCCGGGGGGCGGGGGTGGGGGGGGGAAAATCAGAAGGGGGTTCAGGGTTTGGGGTGTGGGGTTTAGGGTTTAGGGTTTAGGAGTTGAGGCCACTTGTGGCCGTAGGGCTTTTGGGTTTGGGTTTAGCAGGCAGGGCTTCAGGCAATGACAAAGTTGTGGTGTTCGAGGTTCAGAGATCGCACTCTTGCCGCAGATGCGCGCGTTTGCGGTTTGCGGTTTGGGAATGCGCGTGGTCTGCATTTCGAGAGCATGTGCTTTGGCCGCTTCTCCAAGAAGAGTCCAAGGAGGGTTCGGCGCCAGCTATTCAAAAAAGTAGCGACATAGTCTTTGCTTTTCTCCACTTCTCGCAACTTACGACGAACGGCAACAACTGCAACAAGAAGAAGAACCCAGAGGGAACCCTTGCCATGGCTCACGCTTCGAAGGGCGCAAGTGTGAGACGTCTGAGCTGGAGGCACTGGGCCCAGTGGGCTGATGGCATAAGTCCCTGGAAGAAGCAGGTTCCAGGCCTTTGCCTTACCGCAGCCTTGAACATCATGGACTTCTACTCGGACCTGCTGGTCGTCTTGAAGTACGGCTGCTACGTGGAGGGCTCTTTCACGCGGAGCTGCGGCTGGGAGGAAGTGGCACAGGTGGCTCTAGCCACCTGTCAGCCCCATTGGTGGTGGTTTCGAATCGGCCTCGCCATGCTCGTCGTGTCGAATACCGAGCAGAGCGCTGTCTGGGCGCACTTCATGGCCCTGCAGGCGCCTCCTGGATGGCGTGGATGGCGGAGGGTTTGCGCATTTGCAGGTGCTTTCATGCTGGCCTTCTTCCAGCTGAACTACTTGGTGGACGTTGCGTGTCTAGTGTACCGGGGTAGACGCGCGGATAAGGCGGGCGAGATCTACACCGAGTCGCAGAGCGAAAGCTTCAACCGGGCATTCCGGGAGCTGGTGACAAAATGCCTAGAGAGCGCACCACAGCTTTACTTCCAAACCTACGTGCTCTTTACCCTGGGTGCACACCGCGATTGGGTGCAGGCGGGCTCTGTTGCCATCTCAACCCTATCACTTGCCTATGGGATCACCAAGGTTTGGGCGGCGAGCCCGATCAGGTTCCAAAGCGGCGAGCACTTGCATCGGCGACTGAAGACCCCGAGGGCCTTGCTCCTCATCTTCCTCTTCTTAACCCTGGACCAGGCGTGGCGAGCGGGTGTGGCCGCGCTGATGCTGGCGGAAGCCTCCCGACCCATCGGTGTCGTGGTGCTGGTGGCATTCTTGCTTGGATTCCTCATCTGCTTTATGCTCAACTGGAGAGACTTTTGCAAGGAGTTTTGCCATTCGGAGGCCAACCTCATCCAGCTCTTCTTCCTCCCAATTGCGGCCACGCTTGCGGGCCACTTGATGCCTGCGGTCTTGATTCTGGTGGACGAGCTGGCGGATGGAGAGAGCATGCTGCGAACTGCATCGCCCCAGCTTCTTACTGTTGGTTAGCAGGGAATGAGGGAATGAGGGAATGAGGCACCCTCTACCCCCCCTGTAGATACCTTTTAAGGGATTATAGAAAATGGGACGCTGTGGGAGTGCACTTTTTCCACAAAAAAACACGCAAAACTTTTAAAAAAACTTTAAAAACACACGAAAAACGTGCAACAAGAAAAAAACACACACAAAATCCCTACAAAAACAAAAATACTGAAAAAGAAGCAAGAAAACCAAAAAAAAACTAAAAGAAAAACAATCCTGAGGGACTCTGTTGGGGAGCCGGACCCCCTGGGAAGAGTCTCTCAGGATTGTTTTTTCTTGTTTTTTTGGTTTTTTGGGGATTCTTGTGCAAGAGAACCAAAAAAACCAAAAAAACCAAAAAACACCAATCCTGAGGGACTCTGTTGGGGAGCCGGACCCCCTGGGAAGAGTCTCTCAGGATTGGTTTTTTTGGTTTTTTTGGTTTTTTTTTGGTTTTTTTTTTTTTTTTGGTTTTTTTGGTTTTTTTGGTTTTTTTGGTTTTTTTGGTTTTTTTGGTTTTTCGAGGACTTTTGTGTATTATTGGAGATTTTGCTGTACCATTTTCTTTTGTACGGTTTTTCGGTGTCTTCTGAAGGGTGTTTTTTGGGTTTTTTCTTTAGGCTTTTAGGTGTTATTTCATTTTCGTACGCTTTTTTTGTACAGTTGTTTTTGGTATTTGTGTTTTGTGTGTGTTTTATATTTCTGAGTGCCCTTTTGTACGTGACAAAAGCACTAACCTGGACAATCAAGCACATGGCATTCTGTGTTTCTCTCATCTGGTGGGCGATGAAAGGTTCTCTCTAGGTCCTGCTTTGCACAAATTTAAACAACGTTGATATATTATCCATGAATTTCGTGCTCCCAGCCACATGGTTTGAAAAGCATGGGTTTTTTGGAAAACATTGGCATTACCGACGTTTTTTCGGCTCCATCCTTCAAAAAATTGGTAAAGACCAATGTTATCCATGAATTTCGTGCTCGCGGCCACATGGTTTGAAAATCATGGATTTTTGGAAAACGTCAATTTTACTAATGTTTTTCGGCTCCATCTTTCAACAACATTGGTAGAACGAATGTTTTCCATGAGTTTCGTGATCTGAGGCTCTCTCCCAGCCACCATTTCTCGAGGAGGTACCAAAAAACAAACTCGAATCCTGCAAAATCTCGAGAGAGTACCAAAACCTCCATATAATCAATCACGCCCCAATACGCAAAGCATGACATCTGTCCTAAAAACTATACCTTAGCTAGGATGTCTCAAGCAATCATCCCCCAATAAGCAAAACCTAATATCTATACTAAACACTGTACCTTAGCAACATCTTTTAAGACATCACGCCCTAAGGCTCCTACCAATGTAATAAGGTTCCTATCAATCTAAGCAGGGTTCTTATTCATGTTACTGGGATTCGCAATGGGTTTTAATTAATTTTAAGGATTAGGCTCATAATTATTAGTTTAGTAGGGTTCCTATTTGTTCTTGTACAAGGATTCCATTGTTTTGCAGGCCTGTTGGTTCCTATTCATTTTAGTAAGATTCCTTCTCGTTTTAATGGGATTCCTGTGAATTGTAACCCGGGTTCTTTTTGATTTGTCAAGGGTTCCTATTCATTTTAATAGGCTTCCGTCCTAGTAACTGTTATCCGGTTCCGATAATTCAATAGAGGATCCTAATTATTTTAATAAGGCTCCTACTCATGTAATAAGATTCCTATCAATTTTCATCAGATTCTTGTTCATGTTAATGGGATTCGTATTAATTTTAATAGGGATCTCATTCACTTTAAAGGGGTTCCTATTGGTTTAGGCTCATGTTCATTTTAGTATTTCTAAGGGTTCGCCTTATGTTTTATGGGAGTCCGATTGGTTCGTATTAATTGTAGTAGGGCTCCTCTTCAGTTTAATAGGATTCCTATTAATTCTACGAGGATTCTCATCTTTTTGTGAGGGGCCTCCAATTCATTTCAAGAGGCGTCCTATTGACTTTACGGCTCCGATTAATTGAAAATAGGGTTCCTACGGATATAAATAGAGGATTCCTATTGTTGTTTCTAGGATTCCAATATGGTTGGCCCATTTATTTTGAAAACGGGGACAGGACATACACCGTATCGCTGCTTTGTGTTGGCGCACTTGTATGCTGCATTTTGTGCATGACTCGTGATTTTGTTTATATAAAATACGGCTGCGCTGTGAGAGTGTTTTTGAAATATCTTTAAACAAATAGAAAAAAGTGCACTCCCACAGCGTCCCGGTCTCGGATTATATAGGGTACTGTACCTCATTCCCTCATTCCCCACCAACCAACAGTAAGGCTTGCGGCGTGGCGTTGGACCGAAGGCGTGGTGTGCATGGCTTCTTTGTCATAGTGGGGTAGCACTTTACCTTTTCAAAGGCTGTTTAGACTCAATAAGGAACAGACATTTAGATTTTAATAGCATCCCAGTCATGATCTAGGCTGTGGCTTTCGCAGTGGCCAAAACGAGCTGCGGCGAGGCGCCCTACTACGAAGCTGGGCTTCTGCTGGCGTTTCTGGGGGCCAGCGCGCTCCTGTTCTTGGCCTTGCGACTCGGGGGGCAAAACCCTCAACCCTGAACCCTAAGCCCCTAAACCCCAAATCCTAAACCCTAAACCCTAAACCCTAAACCCGAAATCCTCAAGCATGAGCCCTATTTTTTAAAGTCCAGAGGTCACGTTTCCCTTTCAGCTCTTGGCTGCGAAAGGGCCCTAATTGGCAGTGCAAGGCTTCACAGGAAGACTTGTTTTACGGGCCCAAGAGACCACATAAACATAAGGATCCTACTATCGGGGTATAAGGGCCCCTATAGGGGATAAGGATCCTACTATCGGGGTATAAGGGCCCCCAGAAGGGGGGACTCCGAAAAAAGACCGGCTTGTAGGATCCTATTCTCTTGCACGGCAAGAACTTGCCGATTGCTCAGGTACACGCAGTGTGGCACGCTCAGAGGCCTGGAGTTTGTGTGCTGAAGGTGAAATGGGCATTTCCCAAAATGGGGGTTGCTCCCCAAATTCCGCCGTGCGGTGGCGCCGCAGGCTTCTGGCGCTCGATGCTTCTTGCAGAGAAGGACCCGGGCTTCGAGATCACGGCAGAAGAGGCAGAGGAGCAGGCGACGCATCAGCCAGTCAAGGTTTTTCACCCTTTCAACCCTAACCCCCCCCTCCCCCCCTGGTTGTAGCAGCCCCCCCCCCCCCCTACCCCGCCCCCCTACCCCCCCTTCCGGCCACACAAAAAGGCAGCCCCCCCTTACGGTCGAAAGCGCCCAACTAGGCTCTGAGCTGCTCAGGAGCGGGAAGAAGCCGAAGCGCGTCTTGAGGGGCGCCTTGGCTCATGTGCCAGCACCTCCACACACCTTTTAGGGTTTTGGGCTGCGGATGTTCCCCCTTATACCTACATGTAGGGGGGGTACCATCATCCTTATGAAGGACTGTTAGTATTGGGGTTTTAGGTTGGGATGTTCCCCCTTATACCTACAGTAGGGGGGGGGTACCATAATCCCCATGAAATCGTCGCGCTCTACTTCTTTGAGCTTTCTGCGCTTCGACTATTTGGCCAGTCCGACGTTGTGTCTTTGTCTAGCTTGATGAAGATCTCTACAGGCCCAAAGAGGAATCCGAGCTGGACGTGATCGTCGAGGACAAGACCATATCGATTTGAGGTCGGGACTGTGGTACCGCGAAGCATGGCGAAGTTGCTTAAACGACTGATAGCCGGATACTGCCGCGACTGCTACTTGGGTCGACATCCGACTGATCACGGCTGGGTACTGCCGCGAGTGCTACTTGGGCCGACATCCCCCTGGACGTTTCACAAGTTGTGTTTCGCCCGAGCGCAACTGAAAGGCTGAACGAGGCTGAACCGTGGTGATGCTGAGCCGAAGGCTCTTCAGCACTTCTGGAGGTCGCCTCCGATGTCAGCGAAATCTCCCAAAAGCCCGAAGGCCCTGCATGACATGTCTTTTTGCAAAGAGCAGGCATGGGGCCCGATGACCTACCTCAAGGATCCGGAACACTTGCCTGGACCCTATATCCTTTCCTCGCGACCTTCCAGCCCTAAACACAAAACCCTAAACCCTAAACCCCAAACCCCAAACCCTAAACCCTAAACCCTAAACCCTAAGCACAAAACACTAAACCCTAAACCCTAAACCCTACTTGGAGGTTCATGGTGCTTATTAACCAATTTAACCATACTTATAACCCACTTATAAGCCCCTTAAGTGCCCTAATACGGTTATAAGTACAGCTATAAGTACAGTTATTATTGGCTAATAAGTACCATGAACCTTCAGGTAAACCCTAAACCCTAAACCCTAAACCCTAAACCCTAAACCCTAAACCCTACACCCTAAACCCTAAACCCTAAACCCTAAACCCTAAACCCTAGACCCTGCAAGCTCCTGGAGACCGGGCGGACACCCGTAGTCCACTGGTAATGTCTTTGTCCCAGGAGGCGTCTTTCCCCAGACTTGACACCCCAAACGCCCGAAGCCCTCACCCGCAGGCTGTAAGCACCCCTGGATTTCTCAGGGAATTTGTCGATGTTGAGTGCCATGGTGTGCAGCAAGTTCTCGGCTCAAACTCGCAGCTCGCGGGAGGTGTTACTCGCCAACCTACAGAAGCCCAGCGTCAGATCTTCTTCATGCTATAATCCCCCCTCAATGTGAGGAACCTGAAGTATCAGGATCAAAGCCTTACAACCCTAAACCCGCCTACATCCTAAGCCGTAAACCCTGAGATTGAGGGGTGCCAGGGAAAAGGCCAAACCTCATGTTGTGAGATTCCCAGCTTTCATTCATTCATGCATGCAAAGCTTAATCCAGTGGTGCAAGTTCCGGCCACATTCTTGGGGGCAGCATCAGATCACAAAAAGGCGTGTTTTTGTTTTTTGTGCTTTGAGGTTGAGCTGCAGGAGGAAGCTCAGAGGCGCTGTCCGGGCCATGGCTTCCCTGCTGGCTTGGGGATGCTCGATGCTCGTGTTAGCGTCCGCGAGCGTGGGCCCGCTGGAGCCTTTCACCATTCGCTCTGCGAAGCTGCAGAAGTGCGTCACGTTGAGGATGTCATGGTTCCTGGCCTTGGTGGATTGTGATGATGATTTGGCCACCAGCCGCCAAGTTTGGTACTGGAACCAGACTTGGCTTGTGAACCGGCAGCGCAAGCGCAGCGGAGCGTACACCGCGTGCACAAATTTCTACCCAGCTTTTTATGCTCATCATTCAAGGCCCTTGCGAGGCAACGCCTGTGAAGAGGGTCGACTCTTCATGGACTGGGTCTGGCAAGACGGCCGTGTCATAAACCCCCACACTGGGCATTGTTTTGACCTTCCAGGGATGAACTTTTCCGACGTTGATGGGTACACGTCATTTGCCCGACAAGCCGTTGTACCAGTGCAGCTTGGGAAAGTGGACCTTGCAGATGATGACCAACTCTTCCATCTGGTTTCCTTGCCAGGTTTGGGGACACCGCCTGCTTTTGAACCGCTGACCGCTGAAACCAGCGAGCTCCAACACAAGCCGGAATCCGACGACAGGCCTGGCTTTTTTCCAAGTTGCCCTGATGGATGTGCTGGAGAGCGTCACTTTTGCCCATCTGAGCAACGTGGCTTGGCTGCTAGAGCCGCTTACGGCCCACTTACCGATGTCCAGAGGCTCCTCTTGCTTATTGTTTTAGTTGCAGGGCATGTGTCATCATGGGTCATGACCGGCGCGAAAAAACTGCAGTTCTCGAACCAAGCAAGCAGCCATGTCTTAGAAGGACCCCTCACCCTGTAATAGTGGTAGAATAGTTAGGAAGATAAGAGCACCTTCATAGAATCCCTATTCTACCTTTTTGTCACTCAGGGTGAGGGTCCACCTAAACTATATTGCATGCCTGAAGTCGTGGCAATGCCCACTTTAAGTGGACTTGCAGTGACTTGCCCAAGCGCTCAGGAAGAATCGAGTCTGATCCTTGCCAGGGCGGCACTGTTCGCAATCGAGCTGTGTGTGCGCCTGGCTACTTTGTGCACATCCCAGGAGTCCAACTCTTCGACAACGATGGCACATGGTCCTACAACTGCTGCTTGGGTGAGGACGGTGAGAAGCAATTTGGGGACTGGGTGTACATGGAGCCACTGGCCATAACTCTTCTGGTGCTCGGAATCATGGGCATACTGGCATCATTTGTGCTGAAACGCTGCTTCACGCGCAGCATTGCACCTCCCACCGATGACGACCGTCACTTGGTGGAACATCCTCCAGTGCTAGATGGCGCACTCCTCCACCGAACTGTGCCTCAGGAAAAATGGGGCCTGACACTGGGAGACTTAAGGCAGTTTAAACGACTTGTGCACGACGCTGTGATGAAGGGAATCATCAAGCCCCACGACCGTGATCAATTTCTACCCTCCGCCTCTTGGTGGAATAAGTCGGTTTTTTGCATCGAGAAAAACACACAGCCGTAGCTTGATGAATTCCAGCTGTCTCTTTGCTGTTACGCGATGCTAGTTAAGTTGCTCACGCTTGAACATGTTGCGTCTGGAGGACACCAGTTGCGGGCCCTCAATGTACACCGTGACTGAGCAATTCATCAAGCCGGTGACAGCAGCCGCCGGGAACGTCAGCTGGGCATTGCTGAAACATCCTGAAGGTTTGCTCTGTGATGTATTTCTTACGCATGGCTGGGCCGAAGGCATCTATGAGTTTATCGACAAGGTCGAGAACTCGTGGCCTCGGGGAGGTACTGCAGCCTACGTGTGTTTCTTATCCAACCCGCAGAACCTCGACATCTCCGATTTGATAGGAAGCCCAAGAGAGTCACCGTTTGCCAGAGCTTTGGCACGTTCAAGCTCCATGCTTGTAGTCCCAAATCATGTCAGCAGCATCTACTCACGTATTTGGTGTGTGTATGAAGCATTCCTCGCCCACTCCTGGCAGAAGCCAATTCGGGTGGCTCAAGCTCCGGTGCCAACGTGGTCAGACATGCTGCAAGTCTCTTGCGTTGGCCTTGTAGCTCTTGCTGCGGGACTTATCACCGTCATTTCACAAGCTGCCTACTTTGGCCTTGCTCCGACAGCTGTGCAACAGCTGCGGGATGTGCGCCGTGCATTCTTCATATCATCTGCAGCCTCTGGCTGTGGAGTTGGGTTTCTTTTCGTGATGAGGAAGCATCATTGGAGGACATGCCAGCTTGCAATCTATGTGTTTGCCATTTGCTCGGAAACTTGGCGCCGCATCATGACCCTGGCCCCTTCCTAGATTAGATGCTACGTTTTCCTGCATCAGCGTTCCTTTCCTGAGAGCTCTTCAGCATGTCGCCTGAGGTTGCTAAAGCCTTGGGCGTTGATTCAGACTAGTTTGATGGTTGTACAGCTTGACCAACAATTCCGAACTTCTCCATGATCGAGTTTCAGCCCAGGATGCATTCTCGGCCATCAACATCTGCTTGGATGGCCTCACGGATGTTCCTGTGCTATTTCCATGTGTCTTGTCGCTAGCTGCAGTTCTTGCGCTGGTGGGAGACCGATTGCGGGCGGTGGAGGCTGCTCGACAAGCTCAGCAGCTGCGCAGAGGCTTCACAGGAACGGTTCGACGCTGGTCGGTGCCACAGTATGTTGTTTGCTCGGTGTTGCAACTTTTCAGCTGAGCTAAGTTCAGTGTTCCGCTAACCAGAAACCCTAAACCCTAAACCCTAAACCCTAAACCCTAAACCCTAAACCCTAAACCCTAAACCCTAAACCCTAATCACACCCCCCTCCACCCTCCATTGACTGAATCGGAAAAATTGATGTAACAAGAGTTTTCACGTTTGGAGTTCTTATGATCTCTTGCTGTTCAAAGCTTCCCCCCCAACAATAAACCCAGGTTGGCTCTTGAAGGGTCTACTTGCTTTCCTTCAAAGACCTCAGTTTCAACTCCTCCAACAAACATGTCACAACTGGGTACTTTGAATTGAGGGTTTAATCCTAGGTAGGATAAGGGGGACCCTCAAAAGGGAACCCCTTCTGAACCCTCTTCTGGCGCTTTTAAGGAGGGACCTGATTCAGAGGGTCTATATCCCTAAGGGTCCCCCTAATCCTACCTCCTGGGTTTAAAGTTGAGCTACGGCCTTGCAGTTAACGACCCAGTAGAGTAGGGTTTAGGGTTTAGGGTTTAGGGTTTAGGGTTTAGGGTTTAGGGTTTAGGGTTTAGGGTTTAGGGTTTAGGGCTTCGGGTTTAGGGTTTAGGGTTTAGGGTTGGCCCGCAAGGAGATGCCGAGAGCTCCGACGAAGCGGATAGGCGAAACATCATGATGGAGATTAGTCAAACTGGGCAGTTGAACGCCGTGGATGAGGTGGTGGATACATTGTTGACCATGAACATCTCCACGAGAGAGTTGCGCCTAGTGACACAGCGAGCTGGGCAACTTGGAAATGGTTCGGGCTGGAGCAGATCATTGTTCACGGCGTCTTCGGCCTATTTGGTCTTCCAGTGCTACCAAGTCAGGAAATGGAGAATCGATAGAAGTCTCTATGCTCTCTTTTCCCAACCGCCTGTGTCCCACTGGATTCTGTTTGTTATTGCTGCCCTCGAGGCTCTTGTGTGGCCTATAATGTTTCTGGCGCAGCCAGTTGAGAGAAAATCTTTTTCTGTGAGATGCACCTCCATTTTGCTGCTTCTCCTTCCTGGTATGGGTGGCATTTGGGGAGGGTTTTCATTCGATGCTTTTGCGCACTTCGGAGTCGTACCACTAATGCTTGTGATGTCCATGCTAGGTCCAGCTCGGATTGCGAGGCTTCCTGGTGTAGGGCCGATCGTAATTCGCGTCCTGTACGGGCGGAATCCTTGCAAGGCTTATAGGCACGACGGAGGTGACGGAAGACAAGACATGCCTGTGGCCTCGCCCATGCATGAAGAAGTCGGTGTCGGATGGCCGGCAGATGGTGAATTGGTTACTATGACATTTTGAGCCCCTTGGACGATTTTCCTGCTAGGTTTCACCAATTGAACTGCACAAGGTGAGCCACTTGGAAAAATGGGATACTGGATCGCAGGTGAGCCATAAAGAGCAGCTGTCGTAGCCCGGGGCTCCTGAGCCGAATGAAGCCCGCGAAGCCAGGGACTGAGATTCAGGGTTGGGGGATGGGTTCGGGTGGTGTAGGATTCGGCAGGGTTTTTAGGGCATCTGGGTTGGAAAGGCACGAAAAGCAGCGAGATGAGTGCCGCGGCGGTTGCTTTCCTGCGCTTTTGGGCACTTATTGCTGGCGCGAGTCGTTGCAGCCTCCTGGGTTTAGGGTTTGGGGTTTAGGGTTTTGGGTTTTGGGTTTAGGCTGATTAGGTAGAGCCACAACTCATGTGTCTACACTTGTATCTACTTATCGCCCATGATAACCCCCAATTAGGGCACTTGTAACCCCTAATGCTACTAAGTCCCCTGATCCTTTCAGCAGGGCTCAGGTTTCTGAAACAGTTGGCTTTCCGATAATTGAAATATTGAAGGTGGCCTGCAAGAGAGACTGATTCCTGGATGTTTCAGTTTTGGCGACCCTCTGCTGATGGCCGAAATGGTAGTATGCGGCAGCTGTTTCCTCTTTAAAATGTCCTCGTGTCTAGAGTCGTCACCGTCGCACAAATGGCAAGAATTCAACACGCCATCCTCACCCTCAACCCTGAACCGGAGTGTCGGGGCTTTGCAAGAAGGGTTTGCCATGGGAGCTGGCGCCTCCTCCTGACTTCCTCCTGAAAGTTTCTCCATTGTGGGCTATGCTCTTGTTGCGACCATGCAGGTCACCATGGAACGCTGGATGGCAGGTTGGAACCAGCATGCTCAGATGCACCGGCGCCTCCCCTTGCCGAGAAGGTGCATATGGTCGGTTCACAATCACGACAGACCTGTCGACGACGATGGTGTAGAGGCTATTTTTGCCTTCATGGAAGAGCGCAAGCGCAGGGATGCGGGACGTGTTCGTGGTTGCATGTCCACCGACGGCAACGGACGTCAATTTCCTGAAGATGGCCTCTTTCAAGAAGGCCGATTGGTGGGATGATGGTTTCGAGCTCACCTCTCCGGAGCAGCGCGCGCCACGACGGCACACCAGCACCTATGGCTAAGCAAGGCCAGAAGGCAAAGAAGAGCCGCATGGCCAAGAAGGAGAGCCCCTCACGAGGCTCTGCATCTGGCTGTGCTCCAAAGAAAGAGCACGCCGAGCTGCCGAGCCGAGCTGAAGGAGCGCAGCGTATTGTTAAAGCATGTTAGAGCCACAGATGCCACCATGCACAAGCCGCAAGTGCTTGGTCGTGGTCATGGCGGCCAGCCCCAGTCCCTCAGCACAAGTCGATGATGCTAGGCACGCTCACGTCGCTGTGGGCACGGCTCCACCACGACCCTGCGGAACCCCTTTTCTCATGGCCGTGAAGGCCAGAAGCAACAGAAGAGATGGGTTGAGGTTGAGGGGTAGTTTCATGTTCTTGGGGCGTTCAGGGGCGTCGGGGTTCTGAGAGGAAGACATTGACAGCACACTTGGAAGTTTTCGCTTCTCGGGAGAGTTCTCCGGGATACTCTTGGCTCGGGCCATGTGATCTCTTGCCGTTGTCGTTGAGCCGTCGGCCAGCTTGGTCATGCTAGAACAGCAACAGCACAACTCACTTCTGCGTCCGCATCACTGCCGTACAGCCTGAAGCACTGATATCAGAGAACTGGCAAGAGGGGTACTTGCAAAGTGGCTTGCTGATGGCAGGAGCAAGGGCCTCCAGCTGCAGAAGCACAGTGAAGGCAGTCTTGAAGTTGACCATTGAAGTTGACCTTGGGCTGCGCTTTCATTCCTGGGTCCCAGGCTCCGCTCAAGTGCATGGATCCACTTCGTAACGGATCAGCATCTCGACAAGTTCTTGTAGGATGCCCCTAGTGACTTGCAGGGGCTCCCATGTGAGGAGTAGGGTCCACCCTGAAATCCGTTGCCAGGGGCAGAAGGTGCCGAGGAGACGTTTTTTGCAGGCTCGCGTGGCGCGCCACGTGGGAGTTTCCTGAGAATATCGAGCTTTCACAGTAGAAAACGCCGAAGCCAACAATGCACACACGCAACGCTCTGAGCCTACTGGGCCATCTTCGTAAGCGTGAAGTTTTTTTGGTGGGTGACTGTACAAGCCACGCAATCCACACATGCAGTGCCCTGCCTCACACGAGTACGAGCGGCTATTGTTGGTGGGTTGGTGGCGGGGTGACATTACAATCGAAACCACGCACGCCACATACGCAATGCCGTAAGGGTACCTGCATGCAATGCACCGCCAGCTTGCAGCCACGAGGTATCCGCTCTGGCTTTGCACATTTTGCACTCTCCTACTCTCCACCATCCACTCCCGCAAACCCTCCAGACTAAAATGCCTTAAAGCCTAAGCCCGCCACATGCTCCCAGACCCAACTAGCCAACATTCGGGTTTGTCAGTTGAGTCTTGGAGAGTGACCCCGGGTCTTTGTGGCGTACGAGATCGATCGTCGAAAAGAAGCAGAAGAGAGAACACCAAAACGCCCATGGTTTCCAAAGCCGCCTCACGCCCAATCCCTCAGCCGTCAGCGTTCCCCTTCAGTGTGTAAGCTGCTTGACGGCAAAGAATCCTTCCATGCTTCACTCAAAAGAAGGTCAATACAGCACGCTTTTGCTTTAACAGAGAAATTCCAGGAAACATGTTTTTCTTTCCAAAGAGTTTAGGATGTGGTAGTGTGATGTGGTGGCGTTGGCGTTATCTCCTCACCACCAACCTTGTTTCATATCTGGTCTATGCAGGCTTTGTGACTTCAATGCGTAACACATTGACATGATCTAAACAATAGGGGACTTTTAAAAACGCTATAAAATGGAGAGGTGGGCACAAGGGCGGAAAGTTTATCCCATAATGCTCGCACAATACGGGGGCGGCATCGTTCATGTGGTTTCAATTACGCCAGATGACTCCCACAGGAGAGGTTGACCCTTCCCCCCCCCAAAACCCTAAGCCCTAAACCCTAGACCCTAAACGCTAAACGCTAAACGCTAAACGCTAAACGCTAAACGCTAAACCCTAGACGCTAAACCCCAAACCCCAAACCCTAAACCTTCCCTAAACCCTAAACCCAAAACCCCCCAAACCCCAACCCCCCCCCCCCCCCCCCCCCCCCCCCCCCCCCGCCCCCCGCCGGAATCTGAAGGCAACTTCAGGGGACGAGGCGTTACAACGAACCACGGAGCACGCGCTCGGTTTAGGGTTTAGGGTTTAGGGCTTAGGGGTTGAGGGTTTAGGGTTCGTGCGGACAGGTCATGGAACACTTGAAGCGGCGGCTCGGCACAGGTCTCTGCCTTGGGCTGTGCTTGGCGATGTTTTCCGAAGGACGCCTTGCTGCCTCCTAAACCCTAAACCCTAAACCCTAAACCCTAAATCCTAAACCCTAAACCCTAAACCCTAACCCCTCAAATTTTGAAGCAAATTGGAAACGATCGCTCGTTTATTATGAAAAGGGTGATGAGAGCTGTGATGTAGCTGTCTTTCCCGTCTGTGGTGGCTTCTCTCAGGGGCAGCAATGAAGCCAGTTGCAGAAAGAGGACGACTTCAGTTTTTCTTCTTCTTTTCCCCCCTCAACCACCCTAAACCCTGGTAGACTGGCAAAGTCGGCCAACTCACCTGGACTTCAGGGAGCCAGTCCTCCACTTGGACTGCCGAAGCAAGGCGTCGCTAAAGAGCACAACTGGCTGTGCAGCAAGCTCCGACGAAAAAAGTTGCTCAAACCCAGCCGTCTCTTCGACCGATGAAGGAACGGCAAAGAGCGCGCAAGGGGTTTCCAAACTGAGACAAGTGAAGATTGGGAGGACATTCCTGGAGTGTGGCTGGCACAGGGGAGCCGGGCGTAGATAGTGACATGGAGATTGGAATCCAAGTGAGAGCCCGAGAGCCTGACAGCCGTTCAGGTCTAGCTGCCAGATGGGTGGGGGAGAGTTTCCGTTTCCGCTGCGATTTGAGGTGACAGCCTGCGGCGCTGCTTCTCAGAATCGCATGTGCTCGGATCTCAGCTTGTCTTCAGCTTGTATGCTTCAGAGAGACGCGTTGTGACATCGCGCGAGTGTAGACTTGCAGCACTTTGCATGTTTGACACTGGATCAGCGCAGCAGTCCAGGTTGTTCAGAAAGTTGGTTGACTGACTGCCTCACTGCATGTGTTGGACCAGCAAGCCAACAAGGCCTGGAACATGCGCTTGTGGCAAGTATCGAGCAGCTCAGCAGGCCCGAGCTCATGACACTGTGGGCATGTCTCGTGGATCCACAGTTTTGTTTTTTGCACGTGCAGTGCCTCTGTCGATCAAAGTTTGAGAGACCCTTGTCGCGTGCGAAAGGCCTGTCAAGAAGGTTTTGCCTGAAGCTTCTTGGCTCTACAGCGCGCTCGATCTCAGCCTATCCGCGTCATCGCACGCTCGCTCAAGATGGCTGAAGAGACTAAGGAGCAGAGCTGCGCGCAGTTCGCCTTGTTCGTGACACTGAAGATCATCGGCGTCCTGGTCGCCCTGTACTTCTTTCTGGCAGGTCTGAGCTTGATGGGAGGATCTTTCGGTGCTCTTGGAGGCAAGGGAGCAGGCGAGCTCTTCACGATCACTGACAACCCCATCGCAGGTCTCATGGTGGGAGTGTTGGCCACAGTCCTGGTGCAGTCATCCTCCACCAGCACAAGCATCGTGGTGGGTTTGGTGGGTGCCGATGTGTTGACTCCGCGCCAGGCAATCCCAATCATCATGGGCGCCAACATCGGAACATCGGTGACCAACACCATCGTGTCAATGGCACATGCGGGAGATCGCCTGGAACTGGAGCGTGCCTTCTCCGGAGCAACCGTGCACGACATGTTCAACATGCTTTCCGTCCTGACGCTGCTCCCGTTGGAGATCATCACTGCCGCCATCTCCGGAGAAGGAGGCCTGCTCTATTGGATCTCCCGGGGCTTGACGGAAGCAGCCGTTGGCGGAGCAGAGACGGACCTGACCTTCCCATCCCCAACCAAGGAGATTGTGAGCCCATTGGTGAAGGCATTCCTGTCCAAGGACAAGAACGTCGTGAAGGCCTTGTCCTTTGGTGAGCCTCCTGCCTACACAATGCCCTCAGGCTCCGGCACGTACTACTGCGTGAGTTCAGCCATGAGCTCGGCTTGGAAGAAGGTTGCGGAGGATGCCTACGAGGGCTTGACAAGCTGCAGTGGCTTCGCAAACGAATGTGCTGACGGTAGCAGCTGCTACACGGATGCCGGCGACTACTACACGAATGAGATTGCTGGTGCCAGGCTCATCGGCAAGGGCTTCCTGAAAGAGGCAGGCGACGTGGCGGGCGGCATCATCGGGCTCATCATTTCGCTGGTGGTGCTGTGCACTGCTTTGTACGTCTTGGTGCGGCTCTTGCAGAGCCTCGTGATGGGCCAGGCAAAGAAGGTGATCATGAAGGGCACCAACATGAACGACTACTTGGCCATGTTGCTAGGTCTGGTGATCACGATCATTGTGCAGTCAAGCTCTGTGACCACGTCTGCCTTGACTCCTCTTGTTGGCATCGGAGTTCTTCCTGTGCACAAGATGTTGCCCATGACTCTTGGGGCCAACATCGGCACAACCTGCACTTCCATCCTGGCTGCCTTTGCTGTCATGAAGTTCAACAGCATCCAGATTGCCTTCTGCCACCTGCTCTTCAATCTGATTGGGATCCTCATCTGGTTCCCAGTGCCTCTGATGCGCAGGGTGATTGTGCGAGCCGCTTGCACCCTTGGCTTCTACGCCTCATACTGGCGCCTGGTGCCCCTCATCTACATCCTGGTGATGTTCGTGGCCGTGCCAGGTGTTTCCCTGGGCATTTCTTTGCTCTATTCAGCCAGCGTGGCTGCAGGCGTCGTTTGCACAATCCTGGCTCTGGGTGTAGTGGGTGCATTCATCTACTGGTGGGTGCGCATGGGTGGCTGCTACAAGGTCGTGAGCCAGGAGGAGCGGGACGCACGCAAGGCCGAGATCGAGGAGGAGATGGGTGTTGCGGGTGAGAAGAAGGCAGCTCCAGAAGACGCAGCCCCAGCCGAAGCTGTATAAAGTCTGTACGTCCAGACTTGCTGCAGAGCGACGAGCGTTAAACTTTTCTTTTCCACGGTCCTTGTAAAACAAGGAACCTTGTTATTTGAAGGGGGCCGAGGGGCTGGAACTCCGGCAGTACGCTCTTCGATGTCCCCTGCATGCCGGCCTTGCGCGCGCGCGCTGACTGAGCGCGCCGTTTGCGCGGGGTTGTGATGGTGGATCGGAGATGGGTTGCGGGTGACGCAGTTGCTACGTAACCCATTTTTTTGTGCCAAACCGTACTCTTGAACGGCCTGCGGCGCTGCGCGAAACGCAGCGCGGCCGGAGCTTCTTTGAACCTGCACATTGTGCTGTTGCGTGGAGCTTTGGAGAAGTTCCTCTGCAGCGGTTCATGGCTGCTCGCCCAACTGTGCAAAAATTCAGGTATCTATGTGCAGCCCTTCTACTGTGTAGGTAATGACATGGAGATTGGAATCCAAGTGAGAGCCAGAGAGCCTGACAGCCGTTCAGGTCTAGCTGCCAGATGGGGGGTGGGGGAGAGCTTCCGTTTCCGCTGCGATTTGAGGTGACAGCCTGCAGCGCTGCTTCTCAGAATCGCATGTGCTCGGATCTCAGCTTGTCTTCAGCTTGTATGCTTCAGAGAGACGCGTTGTGATATCGCGCGAGTGTAGACTTGCAGCACTTTGCATATTTGACACTGGATCAGCGCAGCAGTCCAGGTTGTTCAGAAAGTTGGTTGACTGACTCACTGCATGTGTTGGACCAGCCAACAAGGCCTGGAACATGCGCTTGTGGCAAGTATCGAGCAGCTCAGCAGGCCCGAGCTCAAGACACTGTGGGCATGTCTCGTGGATCCACAGTTTTGTTTTTTGCACGTGCAGTGCCTCTGTCGATCAAAGTTTGAGAGACCCTTGTCGCGTGCGAAAGGCCTGTCAAGAAGGTTTTGCCTGAAGCTTCTTGGCTCTACAGCGCGCTCCATCTCAGCCTATCCGCGTCATCGCACGCTCGCTCAAGATGGCTGAAGAGACTAAGGAGCAGAGCTGCGCGCAGTTCGCCTTGTTCGTGACACTGAAGATCATCGGCGTCCTGGTCGCCCTGTACTTCTTTCTGGCAGGTCTGAGCTTGATGGGAGGATCTTTCGGTGCTCTTGGAGGCAAGGGAGCAGGCGAGCTCTTCACGATCACTGACAACCCCATCGCAGGTCTCATGGTGGGAGTGTTGGCCACAGTCCTGGTGCAGTCATCCTCCACCAGCACAAGCATTGTGGTGGGTTTGGTGGGTGCCGATGTGTTGACTCCGCGCCAGGCAATCCCAATCATCATGGGCGCCAACATCGGAACATCGGTGACCAACACCATCGTGTCAATGGCACATGCGGGAGATCGCCTGGAACTGGAGCGTGCCTTCTCCGGAGCAACCGTGCACGACATGTTCAACATGCTTTCCGTCCTGACGCTGCTCCCGTTGGAGATCATCACTGCCGCCATCTCCGGAGAAGGAGGCCTGCTCTATTGGATCTCCCGGGGCTTGACGGAAGCAGCCGTTGGCGGAGCAGAGACGGACCTGACCTTCCCATCCCCAACCAAGGAGATTGTGAGCCCATTGGTGAAGGCATTCCTGTCCAAGGACAAGAACGTCGTGAAGGCCTTGTCCTTTGGTGAGCCTCCTGCCTACACAATGCCCTCAGGCTCCGGCACGTACTACTGCGTGAGTTCAGCCATGAGCTCGGCTTGGAAGAAGGTTGCGGAGGATGCCTACGAGGGCTTGACAAGCTGCAGTGGCTTCGCAAACGAATGTGCTGACGGTAGCAGCTGCTACACGGATGCCGGCGACTACTACACCAATGAGATTCCGGTGCCAGGCTCATCGGCAAGGGCTTCCTGAAAGAGGCAGGCGACGTGGCGGGCGGCATCATCGGGCTCATCATTTCGCTGGTGGTGCTGTGCACAGCTCTGTACGTCTTGGTGCGGCTCTTGCAGAGCCTCGTGATGGGCCAGGCAAAGAAGGTGATCATGAAGGGCACCAACATGAACGACTACTTGGCCATGTTGCTAGGTCTGGTGATCACGATCATTGTGCAGTCGAGCTCTGTGACCACGTCTGCCTTGACTCCTCTTGTTGGCATCGGAGTTCTTCCTGTGCACAAGATGTTGCCCATGACTCTTGGGGCCAACATCGGCACAACCTGCACTTCCATCCTGGCTGCCTTTGCTGTCATGAAGTTCAACAGCATCCAGATTGCCTTCTGCCACCTGCTCTTCAATCTGATTGGGATCCTCATCTGGTTCCCAGTGCCTGTGATGCGCAGGGTGATTGTGCGAGCCGCCTGCACCCTTGGCTTCTACGCCTCATACTGGCGCCTGGTGCCCCTCATCTACATCCTGGTGATGTTCGTGGCCGTGCCAGGTGTTTCCCTGGGCATTTCTTTGCTCTATTCAGCCAGCGTGGCTGCAGGTGTCGTTTGCACAATCCTGGCTCTGGGTGTAGTGGGCGCATTCATCTACTGGTGGGTGCGCTTGGGCGGCTGCTACAAGGTCGTGAGCCAGGAGGAGCGGGACGCACGCAAGGCCGAGATCGAGGAGGAGATGGGTGTTGCGGGTGAGAAGAAGGCAGCTCCAGAAGATGCAGCCCCAGCCGAAGCTGTGTAAAGTCTGTACGTCCAGACTTGCTGCAGAGCGACGAGCGTTGAACTTTTCTTTTCCACGGTCCTTGTAAAACAAGGAACCTTGTTATTTGAAGGGGGCCGAGGGGCTGGAACTCCGGCAGTACGCTCTTCGATGTCCCCTGCATGCCGGCCTTGCGCGCGCGCGCTGACTGAGCGCGCCGTTTGCGCGGGGTTGTGATGGTGGATCGGAGATGGGTTGCGGGTGACGCAGTTGCTACGTAACCCATTTTTTTGTGCCAAACCGTACTCTTGAACGGCCTGCGGCGCTGCGCGAAACGCAGTGCGGCCGGAGCTTCTTTGAACCCGCACATTGTGCTGTTGCGTGGAGCTTTGGGGAAGTTCCTCTGCAGCGGTTCATGGCTGCTCGCCCAACTGTGCAAAAATTCAGGTATCTATGTGCAGCCCTTCTGCTGTGTAGGTAATGACATGGAGATTGGAATCCAAGTGAGAGCCAGAGAGCCTGACAGCCGTTCAGGTCTAGCTGCCAGATGGGGGGTGGGGGAGAGCTTCCGTTTCCGCTGCGATTTGAGGTGACAGCCTGCAGCGCTGCTTCTCAGAATCGCATGTGCTCGGATCTCAGCTTGTCTTCAGCTTGTATGCTTCAGAGAGACGCGTTGTGATATCGCGCGAGTGTAGACTTGCAGCACTTTGCATGTTTGACACTGGATCAGCGCAGCAGTCCAGGTTGTTCAGAAAGTTGGTTGACTGACTCACTGCATGTGTTGGACCAGCCAACAAGGCCTGGAACATGCGCTTGTGGCAAGTATCGAGCTCAGCAGGCCCGAGCTCAAGACACTGTGGGCATGTCTCGTGGATCCACAGTTTTGTTTTTTGCACGTGCAGTGCCTCTGTCGATCAAAGTTTGAGAGACCCTTGTCGCGTGCGAAAGGCCTGTCAAGAAGGTTTTGCCTGAAGCTTCTTGGCTCAAAACAGCGCGCTCGATCTCAGCCTATCCGCGTCATCGCACGCCCGCTCAAGATGGCTGAAGAGACGAAGGAGCAGAGCTGTGCGCAGTTCGCCTTGTTCGTGACGCTGAAGATCATCGGCGTCCTGGTCGCCCTGTACTTCTTTCTGGCAGGTCTGAGCTTGATGGGAGGATCTTTCGGTGCTCTTGGAGGCAAGGGAGCAGGCGAGCTCTTCACGATCACTGACAACCCCATCGCAGGTCTCATGGTGGGAGTGTTGGCCACAGTCCTGGTGCAGTCATCCTCCACCAGCACAAGCATCGTGGTGGGTTTGGTGGGTGCCGATGTGTTGACTCCGCGCCAGGCAATCCCAATCATCATGGGCGCCAACATCGGAACATCGGTGACCAACACCATCGTGTCAATGGCACATGCGGGAGATCGCCTGGAACTGGAGCGTGCCTTCTCCGGAGCAACCGTGCACGACATGTTCAACATGCTTTCCGTCCTGACGCTGCTCCCGTTGGAGATCATCACTGCTGCAATCTCCGGTGAAGGAGGCCTGCTCTATTGGATCTCCCGGGGGTTGACGGAAGCAGCCGTTGGCGGAGCAGAGACGGACCTGACCTTCCCATCCCCAACCAAGGAGATTGTGAGCCCATTGGTGAAGGCATTCCTGTCCAAGGACAAGAACGTCGTGAAGGCCTTGTCCTTTGGTGAGCCTCCTGCCTACACGATGCCCTCAGGCTCCGGCACGTACTACTGCGTGAGTTCAGCCATGAGCTCGGCTTGGAAGAAGGTTGCGGAGGATGCCTACGAGGGCTTGACAAGCTGCAGTGGCTTCGCAAACGAATGTGCTGACGGTAGCAGCTGCTACACGGATGCCGGCGACTACTACACCAACGAGATTGCCGGTGCCAGGCTCATCGGCAAGGGCTTCCTGAAAGAGGCAGGCGACGTGGCGGGCGGCATCATCGGGCTCATCATTTCGCTGGTGGTGCTGTGTACAGCTCTGTACGTCTTGGTGCGGCTCTTGCAGAGCCTCGTGATGGGCCAGGCAAAGAAGGTGATCATGAAGGGCACCAACATGAACGACTACTTGGCCATGTTGCTAGGTCTGGTGATCACGATCATTGTGCAGTCAAGCTCTGTGACCACGTCTGCCTTGACTCCTCTTGTTGGCATCGGAGTTCTTCCTGTGCACAAGATGTTGCCCATGACTCTTGGGGCCAACATCGGCACAACCTGCACTTCCATCCTGGCTGCCTTTGCTGTCATGAAGTTCAACAGCATCCAGATTGCCTTCTGCCACCTGCTCTTCAATCTGATTGGGATCCTCATCTGGTTCCCAGTGCCTGTGATGCGCAGGGTGATTGTGCGAGCCGCCTGCACCCTTGGCTTCTACGCCTCATACTGGCGCCTGGTGCCCCTCATCTACATCCTGGTGATGTTCGTGGCCGTGCCAGGTGTTTCCCTGGGCATTTCTTTGCTCTATTCAGCCAGCGTGGCTGCAGGTGTCGTTTGCACAATCCTGGCTCTGGGTGTAGTGGGCGCATTCATCTACTGGTGGGTGCGCTTGGGCGGCTGCTACAAGGTCGTGAGCCAGGAGGAGCGGGACGCACGCAAGGCCGAGATCGAGGAGGAGATGGGTGTTGCGGGTGAGAAGAAGGCAGCTCCAGAAGATGCAGCCCCAGCCGAAGCTGTGTAAAGTCTGTACGTCCAGACTTGCTGCAGAGCGACGAGCGTTGAACTTTTCTTTTCCACGGTCCTTGTAAAACAAGGAACCTTGTTATTTGAAGGGGGTCGAGGGGCTGGAACTCCGGCAGTACGCTCTTCGATGTCCCCTGCATGCCGGCCTTGCGCGCGCGCGCTGACTGAGCGCGCCGTTTGCGCGGGGTTGTGATGGTGGATCGGAGATGGGTTGCGGGTGACGCAGTTGCTACGTAACCCATTCTTTCGTGCCGCCACGTACTCTTGAACAGCCTGCGGCGCTGCGCGAAACGCAGTGCGGCCGGAGCTTCTTTGAACCCGCACATTGTGCTGTTGCGTGGAGCTCTGGAGAAGTTCCTCTGCAGCGGTTCATGGCTGCTCGCCCAACTGTGCAAAAATTCAGGTATCTATGTGCAGCCCTTCTGCTGTGTAGGTACTGACATGGAGATTGGAATCCAAGTGAGAGCCAGAGAGCCTGACAGCCGTTCAGGTCTAGCTGCCAGATGGGGGGTGGGGGAGAGCTTCCGTTTCCGCTGCGATTTGAGGTGACAGCCTGCAGCGCTGCTTCTCAGAATCGCATGTGCTCGGATCTCAGCTTGTCTTCAGCTTGTATGCTTCAGAGAGACGCGTTGTGACATCGCGCGAGTGTAGACTTGCAGCACTTTGCATGTTTGACACTGGATCAGCGCAGCAGTCCAGGCTGTTCAGAAAGTTGGTTGACTGACTGACTCACTGCATGTGTTGGACCAGCAAGCCAACAAGGCCTGGAACATGCGCTTGTGGCAAGTGTCGAGCAGCTCAGCAGGCCCGAGCTCAAGACACTGTGGGCATGTCTCGTGGATCCACAGTTTTGTTTTTTGCACGTGCAGTGCCTCTGTCGATCAAAGTTTGAGAGACCCTTGTCGCGTGCGAAAGGCCTGTCAAGAAGGTTTTGCCTGAAGCTTCTTGGCTCTACAGCGCGCTCGATCTCAGCCTATCCGCGTCATCGCACGCTCGCTCAAGATGGCTGAAGAGACTAAGGAGCAGAGCTGCGCGCAGTTCGCCTTGTTCGTGACACTGAAGATCATCGGCGTCCTGGTCGCCCTGTACTTCTTTCTGGCAGGTCTGAGCTTGATGGGAGGATCTTTCGGTGCTCTTGGAGGCAAGGGAGCAGGCGAGCTCTTCACGATCACTGACAACCCCATCGCAGGTCTCATGGTGGGAGTGTTGGCCACAGTCCTGGTGCAGTCATCCTCCACCAGCACAAGCATCGTGGTGGGTTTGGTGGGTGCCGATGTGTTGACTCCGCGCCAGGCAATCCCAATCATCATGGGCGCCAACATCGGAACATCGGTGACCAACACCATCGTGTCAATGGCACATGCGGGAGATCGCCTGGAACTGGAGCGTGCCTTCTCCGGAGCAACCGTGCACGACATGTTCAACATGCTTTCCGTCCTGACGCTGCTCCCGTTGGAGATCATCACTGCCGCCATCTCCGGTGAAGGAGGCCTGCTCTATTGGATCTCCCGGGGGTTGACGGAAGCAGCCGTTGGCGGAGCAGAGACGGACCTGACCTTCCCATCCCCAACCAAGGAGATTGTGAGCCCATTGGTGAAGGCATTCCTGTCCAAGGACAAGAACGTCGTGAAGGCCTTGTCCTTTGGTGAGCCTCCTGCCTACACGATGCCCTCAGGCTCCGGCACGTACTACTGCGTGAGTTCAGCCATGAGCTCGGCTTGGAAGAAGGTTGCGGAGGATGCCTACGAGGGCTTGACAAGCTGCAGTGGCTTCGCAAACGAATGTGCTGACGGTAGCAGCTGCTACACGGATGCCGGCGACTACTACACCAACGAGATTGCCGGTGCCAGGCTCATCGGCAAGGGCTTCCTGAAAGAGGCAGGCGACGTGGCGGGCGGCATCATCGGGCTCATCATTTCGCTGGTGGTGCTGTGTACAGCTCTGTACGTCTTGGTGCGGCTCTTGCAGAGCCTCGTGATGGGCCAGGCAAAGAAGGTGATCATGAAGGGCACCAACATGAACGACTACTTGGCCATGTTGCTAGGCCTGGTGATCACGATCATTGTGCAGTCAAGCTCTGTGACCACGTCTGCCTTGACTCCTCTTGTTGGCATCGGAGTTCTTCCTGTGCACAAGATGTTGCCCATGACTCTTGGGGCCAACATCGGCACAACCTGCACTTCCATCCTGGCTGCCTTTGCTGTCATGAAGTTCAACAGCATCCAGATTGCCTTCTGCCACCTGCTCTTCAATCTGATTGGGATCCTCATCTGGTTCCCAGTGCCTGTGATGCGCAGGGTGATTGTGCGAGCCGCCTGCACCCTTGGCTTCTACGCGTCATACTGGCGCCTGGTGCCCCTCATCTACATCCTGGTGATGTTCGTGGCCGTGCCAGGTGTTTCCCTGGGCATTTCTTTGCTCTATTCAGCCAGCGTGGCTGCAGGTGTCGTTTGCACAATCCTGGCTCTGGGTGTAGTGGGCGCATTCATCTACTGGTGGGTGCGCATGGGTGGCTGCTACAAGGTCGTGAGCCAGGAGGAGCGGGACGCACGCAAGGCCGAGATCGAGGAGGAGATGGGTGTTGCGGGTGAGAAGAAGGCAGCTCCAGAAGACGCAGCCCCAGCCGAAGCTGTGTAAAGTCTGTACGTCCAGACTTGCTGCAGAGCGACGAGCGTTAAACTTTTCTTTTCCACGGTCCTTGTAAAACAAGGAACCTTGTTATTTGAAGGGGGTCGAGGGGCTGGAACTCCGGCAGTACGCTCTTCGATGTCCCCTGCATGCCGGCCTTGCGCGCGCGCGCTGACTGAGCGCGCCGTTTGCGCGCGGTTGTGATGGTGGATCGGAGATGGGTTGCGGGTGACGCAGTTGCTATGTAACCCATTCTTTTGTGCCGCCACGTTCTCTTGAACGGCCTGCGGCGCTGCGCGAAACGCAGCGCGGCCGGAGCTTCTTTGAACCCGCGCATTGTCACATTGTGCTGTTGCGTGGAGCTTTGGAGAAGTTCCTCCGCAGCGGTTCATGGCTGCTCGCCCAACTGTGCAAAAACTCAGGTATCTATGTGCAGCCCTTCTGCTGTGTAGGTAATGACATGGAGATTGGAATCCAAGTGAGAGCCAGAGAGCCTGACAGCCGTTCAGGTCTAGCTGCCAGATGGGGGGGGGGAGAGTTTCCGTTTCCGCTGCGATTTGAGGTGACAGCCTGCAGCGCTGCTTCTCAGTATCGCATGTGCTCGGATCTCAGCTTGTCTTCAGCTTGTATGCTTCAGAGAGACGCGTTGTGATATCGCGTGAGTGTAGACTTGCAGCACTTTGCATATTTGACACTGGATCAGCGCAGCAGTTCAGGTTGTTCAGAAAGTTGGTTGACTGACTGCCTCACTGCATGTGTTGGACCAGCAAGCCAACAAGGCCTGGAACACGCGCTTGTGGCAAGTATCGAGCAGCTCAGCAGGCCCGAGCTCATGACACTGTGGGCATGTCTCGTGGATCCACAGTTTTGTTTTTTGCACGTGCAGTGCCTCTGTCGATCAAAGTTTGAGAGACCCTTGTCGCGTGCGAAAGGCCTGTCAAGAAGGTTTTGCCTGAAGCTTCTTGGCTCTACAGCGCGCTCGATCTCAGCCTATCCGCGTCATCGCACGCTCGCTCAAGATGGCTGAAGAGACTAAGGAGCAGAGCTGCGCGCAGTTCGCCTTGTTCGTGACACTGAAGATCATCGGCGTCCTGGTCGCCCTGTACTTCTTTCTGGCAGGTCTGAGCTTGATGGGAGGATCTTTCGGTGCTCTTGGAGGCAAGGGAGCAGGCGAGCTCTTCACGATCACTGACAACCCCATCGCAGGTCTCATGGTGGGAGTGTTGGCCACAGTCCTGGTGCAGTCATCCTCCACCAGCACAAGCATCGTGGTGGGTTTGGTGGGTGCCGATGTGTTGACTCCGCGCCAGGCAATCCCAATCATCATGGGCGCCAACATCGGAACATCGGTGACCAACACCATCGTGTCAATGGCACATGCGGGAGATCGCCTGGAACTGGAGCGTGCCTTCTCCGGAGCAACCGTGCACGACATGTTCAACATGCTTTCCGTCCTGACGCTGCTCCCGTTGGAGATCATCACTGCCGCCATCTCCGGAGAAGGAGGCCTGCTCTATTGGATCTCCCGGGGCTTGACGGAAGCAGCCGTTGGCGGAGCAGAGACGGACCTGACCTTCCCATCCCCAACCAAGGAGATTGTGAGCCCATTGGTGAAGGCATTCCTGTCCAAGGACAAGAACGTCGTGAAGGCCTTGTCCTTTGGTGAGCCTCCTGCCTACACAATGCCCTCAGGCTCCGGCACGTACTACTGCGTGAGTTCAGCCATGAGCTCGGCTTGGAAGAAGGTTGCGGAGGATGCCTACGAGGGCTTGACAAGCTGCAGTGGCTTCGCAAACGAATGTGCTGACGGTAGCAGCTGCTACACGGATGCCGGCGACTACTACACGAATGAGATTGCTGGTGCCAGGCTCATCGGCAAGGGCTTCCTGAAAGAGGCAGGCGACGTGGCGGGCGGCATCATCGGGCTCATCATTTCGCTGGTGGTGCTGTGCACTGCTTTGTACGTCTTGGTGCGGCTCTTGCAGAGCCTCGTGATGGGCCAGGCAAAGAAGGTGATCATGAAGGGCACCAACATGAACGACTACTTGGCCATGTTGCTAGGTCTAGTGATCACGATCATTGTGCAGTCGAGCTCTGTGACCACGTCTGCCTTGACTCCTCTTGTTGGCATCGGAGTTCTTCCTGTGCACAAGATGTTGCCCATGACTCTTGGGGCCAACATCGGCACAACCTGCACTTCCATCCTGGCTGCCTTTGCTGTCATGAAGTTCAACAGCATCCAGATTGCCTTCTGCCACCTGCTCTTCAATCTGATTGGGATCCTCATCTGGTTCCCAGTGCCTCTGATGCGCAGGGTGATCGTGCAAGCCGCCTGCACTCTTGGCTTCTACGCCTCATACTGGCGCCTGGTGCCCCTCATCTACATCCTGGTGATGTTCGTGGCCGTGCCAGGTGTTTCCCTGGGCATTTCTTTGCTCTATTCAGCCAGCGTGGCTGCAGGTGTCGTTTGCACAATCCTGGCTCTGGGTGTAGTGGGCGCATTCATCTACTGGTGGGTGCGCATGGGTGGCTGTTACAAGGTCGTGAGCCAGGAGGAGCGGGACGCACGCAAGGCCGAGATCGAGGAGGAGATGGGTGTTGCGGGTGAGAAGAAGGCAGCTCCAGAAGACGCAGCCCCAGCCGAAGCTGTGTAAAGTCTGTATGTCCAGACTTGCTGCAGAGCGACGAGCGTTAAACTTTTCTTTTCCACGGTCCTTGTAAAACAAGGTCCTTGTTAATTGATGGGGGGCCGAGGGGCTGGAACTCCGGCAGTACGCTCTTCGATGTCCCCTGCATGCCGGCCTTGCGCGCGCTGACGGCGCGCGCGCGGTGGATGTGATGGTGCAATGGGCCATGGGTTGCAACTCATGCAATGCAGTAAGCCCAGCAAACTCAGTACACCCTGTCTCGTGGCCGCCACTGCACGTACTCTTGAACGGTCCTGCGCTGGGCGAAACGCAGCGCGGCCGGAACTGGCTGCCAGCTGCTTTGGAGAAGATCCTCTGCAGCGATATGGCGTCGTGACCTCTTTAACTTCAACCTCTTGTGGCCTTCGCCATGAAGTCAACTCCGTATCTCAGGGCGCTAACAAACGAGACAACCTCTTTCTACAGCGAAGTCCGGGGGTGGAAAGAATTGGAGGATGAGGCAGAGGCGGAGGAACTATATAGATCCCCGAAGAGTAGGATTCCCTCTATAAAGCCCTAAACCCTAAACCCTAAACCCTAAACCCTAAACCCTAAACCCTAAACCCTAAACCCTAAACCCTAAACCCTAAACCCTAAACCCTAAAACCCTAAAACCCTAAACCCTAAACCCTAAAACCCTAAACCCTAAAACCCTAAACCCTAAACCCTAAAAATTTGAGGACCCCAAACAAGGTACCCAAAATGTCGGAGTGACGTTTGCAGGTCACCACGTCGGTCCACGAGCTGCAGGCTTGCAGATTCCTGTAGGGTTTAGGGTTTAGGGTTTAGGGTTTAGGGTTTAGGGTTTAGGGTTTAGGGTTTAGGGTTTAGGGTTTAGGGTTTAGGGTTTAGGGTTTAGGGGTGGTATCAGTGTAGTCTCAGATTTCCGTAGGGTGTAGAGTGTTGTTGTTGTTGTTGTTGTTGTTGTTGTTGTTGTTGTTGTTGTTGTTGTTGTTGTTGTTGTTGTTGTTGTTGTTGTTGTTGTTGTTGTTGTTGTTGGGCTGTGTATATAGGGTTTCTTTTAAACATTGGTGAGTGTATCTATGGGATGTCCATTTGGGGATGTTAGGAAAAGAAGCCTTTCCATTTTTCAAGCTCCAGCGTCTTCACACTGACGCGTATGATTGAGGGACTCCGGATTTGGGCTGTAACGGCAGCGTGCTGCGAAATCGAGTGTCCTCGAAAGCCAATGACGCGACACGGGAGGAGACTTGTGAGGTAAAGCGAAAACATGAACGCAGCGGCATGAGCGCAGGATCCTTAGTGATGTAAAAAGTTTACCCCGACTGCCCGACGTGCGATGAGCAAGCTTATGTGCAGGGAAGTCTGCAAAGGTTTGGGCTTGCGAAGCTATTTGGGCTTACGAAAATAAGGGGCCCCTGCAAGAGCCCCCCTAAATAGTAAGGACCCCAATGAGGTACCCCTAATTTCGGAAACTCCCCCAGGTACGAACCCGTGTACTCCGATGAAGCAATGCAGATGCGAGGAGATGGAGGAGCTGAGCCACGTGTGGCACCAAGATGCTGGAATTCATTTTAGGGTTTAGGGTTTAGGGTTTGGGGTTTAGGGTTTAGGCCCTATGCATCAGCAGCACATGGAATTCAAAATTTTTCAGCTTGGCCAATACGGTTCGAACACGGTAAGAAGTGCTGCACACACCCAGACAGGACAGCTTCTCTCCTCTCCACTCCATTCCTCTCCGCCACTGTCCACCCTCCACTGTCCACCCTCCACCCTCCACCATGCTAAAGTCTCCCTGTGAAAAGAATCCGAGCAACCTACGCATGTGCGATGTCCAACATGACTGGTGTAGCTTCAGGGAACAGCGTAACCTACGACATGATCAAATTCCAAGTGGGTGTCCATGTGCAAATGCTGTCTGGCTGTCTGTGATTCCGAGGTTCTTCATTGAGTCTGGCATAGTCGGACACGGGAATCCGCATGCGCAGAAGGAACAAATGCGGTTCGATGCTTCCTTCCCGTGCAGTAGCATACTCAGTACTAGTTTCTGCGTATTGCATCGGCGTGGTGCTGTTGTAGAACCGCTGAACATCTTTCCTACGCCTTCCTGCACTGCCCTGGGCGCTGGTGAAGCTTGCAACAAGGGTTTAGCTTAGGATTTTTCAAGCTTTTAGTTGAACGGTCCGTTTTGGGTGCTTAAGGAGTTTAGGGTGCCTGGATTGCGCACAGAAGGCGCGAATCCCGCAATGCCGGCCGATGAGCCATGCAATGAGGAGATCAAGCCACTCGTGGTGCGGGCAACTCACCGGAGAGTTGAGCACACCGCGGAGACTCGATTTTCATGGAGTAGCACGTTGGCATAAAAGAAACATGGTCTTGAAGAACCGCAAAAAGCCCTATGAACCATCAAAACCCCTATAAGCCCCACAAGCCCCAGAGAGACCCGAAAGACCCTCAACCCTAAACCCTAAACCCTAAACCCTAAACCCTAAACCCTGAAAGAGCCACTCGAAAGACCCAGGAGATGGTCTTGGATGTGGAAGCCACCCGCATCAGATTGGGATGGATTGGGGATTTGGGACCTAGGACTCGGGAGGAGGGGCGCTAAACAGTCCCGAAACCTTAAACCCTGGAAACCCTAACCCTAAATCCTAAACCCTAAACCCTAAACCCTAAACCCTAAACCCCCCTAAACCTTAAACCCCAAAAAAGATTCTTTACAGCTCGTTGAAATGCGCAGTATGGAGCCCTAAACCCTAAACCCTAAACCCTACAACCTAAACCCCAAACCCCAAACCCCAAACCCTAAACCCTAAACCCTAAACCCTAAACCCTAAACCCTAAACCCTAAACCCTAAACCCTAAACCCTAAACCCTGAACCTTAAACCCTGAAGCCTAAACCCTGAACCTTAAGGAAGCTTTATCTGCCCGTTTTTTTGCGCCCTGAGAGCATCCCAGAGATTCCAAGAACAGTGAAGCATCGACTCGGGATTGGGGACGTGAGAGCCCCCAATTCCTCTTTAGGGTTTAGGGTTTAGGGTTTGGGGATTTGGGGTTTTGGGGGTTTGGGGTTTTGGGGTTTTGGGGTCTTGGGGTTTTGGGGTTTTGGGGTTTTGGGGTTTTGGGGTTTTGGGGTTTTGGGGTTTTGGGGTTTGGGGGTTTGGGGGTTTTGGGGTTTTGGGGTTTTGGGGTTTTTGGGTTTTGGGGTTTTGGGGTTTTGGGGTTTTGGGTTGCACGTAGAGTTTAAACATAGTACTAGACTGGAACAATAGAGCAAACAAACAGTAGCATAATGGAATAATCGAGACATAGAGTAATGGAGTAAAAGAGCAATAAATTGATAGAATACATAGAAGAGTATATGAGTCTTAACAATATCATAGCAACAAGATATACTATCAAAATGTAAGCATATCATAATAAGACAGTAGAATAAGATCATGATGTGATAACATAACAGTGCAAGAATGCAGTAGTGTAGCCATGCAGTTATAGGAGAGGATTATAAAAGACTAAGAAACAATCGAGGACATTCGCTCTGATCCTAGTAGAAAGCTGTCAAGCTGTCATGTTAGGAGGAGGTCGCTTGGCATTTGCCTTAAGCTACAGCAGTAGGGTTTAGGGTTTAGGGTTTAGGGTTTAGGGTTTAGGGTTTAGGGTTCAAGGTTTATTGTTTGGGGTGTGGGGTTTGGGGTTTAAGATACGGACGATGTTCAGCTAAGGAGCTGAGAGATTTCCAGCCCACAGAATACGTCGTGAGTGACATAGTGGGCCCACCAGATTGGTTCCGGTTCCAGCTGAGCCTCTATCCATGTGGCGAGGATGGTGTTGAAGCATATGTGCAGATTCTTCCCCCGCCCGCCCATGCAGAAGGACAGTGGTCTATCGAGCAGATGGCCTGCGAAATCACGATCACAGATGACAAATATGCAACAGGCGTGGTGTGGAAGGAGCAGGACGAAGTCAATGAATCGGAAGACATTTTCGGGGGACATTTCAACCCTGACTTTGAGATATTCGATGATGATGGTCAGGTGTCCTCCGCGATAGTCCATGCACGGGTGATGCTGCCAGTGCCTCCGGAAACTCAAGACACTTCGCTTTCGAGCATAGATTTGACACAGGAGGTGGCCCAAGTGACTTTCCGCCTGCCCACCGGGTCCTGCTTGTTCCTGGACAAGCGTGTTTTGCTGGCGCGCTCGGAGTATTTTCGACAAATGTTGCAAGAAACCGGGCTCAAGGACGCACGAACGAGGTGGATCTGAGCAAAGATCCCACAATCACCACCAGGGCTATCACAGCACTGCTGCGCTTCCTGATGTCCGAGAAGTTCGAGCCTCCGGTGGATGCAGGCGACCCTAAATCGTAAACCCTAAGCCCTAAACTCCCGAAACCCCAAAGCCTTGTGAAACTCTGGCCAGTCTAGTGTGCAAAGTGTACAACCGAGGTCACATCTCCCCAAACCGCACTCCTTTGTAGAAGAGCCCGATCAGAACGCCCCTAATACAGGGAGGGTTAGAAGCTCACCCCGCGAACCCGACAGGCCTTGGGCCCCTAGTCTTGTTAGCCGAAAAAGTGCTTCGCAGGAACTGCTCATTAGAGATCCCACCTCAAAAGCCTAAACCTTAAAGCCTAAACCCTAAAACCCTAAGCCCTCAACACAAATTGGCAGGCGATTGCAGCTATTTGTTCGAGGTCAGGCAGCTGGCAGACCGGTACCAGCAGAAGGACTTGATGATCCAAGCCGAAACTTGGGGCAGCCCAGCAAGTAACTTGCAGCTTTCGTGGGAACACTACCATAGTAGAGAGAAGTCCTCAGGCTCGCTGTTTCTCGAAGCAAACTGGATGGGTAAGGAGAAAGAGTTGATGAAGCTGCTTTCGCCCGAGAACGTGCTTGAATTTCTCGCACACGTCGTCGGCAGCGGTTGTCAGTTGGAAGCAGTTTCCTGGTTGAAACGAGCGGAGGGTAACTCCCAACGTTGATGAGTTGCGAGCAGGACAGCTTTTCCTTAGAGGCTTTATTTGCGCCGCTCCTAGCTTGAAATCCGAGGCATGCTTGGACATGATCAGCGAAAACAACTGCAAGATGTTGAAAGAGCGCAAAGAGGAGTTAAAGCAGATCGTTGAACAGAACACGGAGCTCACGAAGGTGCTGATGTGCCTCCTTGCCTCTTGACGGCAGTTTGGTTGGGCGCAGGCAAAGACATGGGTTGAAGCACGCAAATATGCCCCTTGGAATTACAAAAGCCCCAGTTTCAGAGTGCAGCTAAGCTCATGTGCCATGGGTCTGTCAAATAAGGGCTTGTTGCATGAAGGATCTTCGCACCTCAATTGAAGCACGCATGCTTGGTTCTGATCCTCAGAAGTGTCCCGTGAGAGGCGTCGTGTTCGCACAGCCGTTTGAGGTTTGTATGAGCAGTTCCTATTCCACTTTAATTCAGCACCTTCTTTTCAGCATTCCTGGGATTTCCAAGATCGGCGCAGCCTTGGGGCTCGATAGATTTAGGGTTTAGGGTTTAGGGTTTAGGGTTTAGGGTTGAGGGGATATTGCTGCAGCGAACGTTCCAAGCACCGACAACAGGCGTAAGTTGCAGGTGCACAGGACATGAAGACGCGCAGCTGTGCATTCGTCCAATGCCGTCATGTTGACCAAGCTTTTGCCATGTAGCCTTTCACAAGGGTAGGTGCGAAAAGCGCCATGCTGTATATCCCGCCTGTGTTGGGCTTCTGAGTCCTAATCTGGTTGTGGTTTGCCGCCTACGGGATTGGATATGACTGCTGCCAGTGCTGGTACCAAGTTCATTGCAGAACCGCAACAAACGTCGCATGCTGCGACACTTGCTGCGACTCGCGGTGGTGAAAGCCTTGAGCTCATGTGGGCTTCGACAGAGTTCTAATGTAACAGCGCCCAAACAAGAGCCGACGGTGTCTGCTGCTGAGAGTTTTTGCTGTGTCCTGACAGAGTACATGGCGAGCTCAAGCCTCAGTGTGGCTTCTTGTTGGCGAAGCTGGCTTGCACACAAGCCTACTTCCCCGAGCTGCCGTAGCAGAGACCTTTTCCCGCTGCCCAGACTTGAGAGCTGGCCGAGCCAAGTGGATAGTGACACCGTGGACACGGCTTGTTGCCTGCAGGTTGCAAACATGTGTTTGGCTGCGCTGAACAGTTTGGAGCAAGGCCTCAAGCCAACATGCAAATGGGAGGCTGTGCCCACCAAACCTACTGCTGCGCAACTTTCTGTTCAGCACCATGTGGCTGGTCGAGTTGCCCGCTTTCTTGGCCGTTTGAATGGTGAGCTGGGGTCCCAACTCGATTGGCGCAACAGTTTCCACATCTTCGAAGAGTCGTCGACAAACGGCTACCAAGGTATACGCGCTGCTGACGTTGACCTGCCGGCTACTGCGGCCACTTGCGAGCCACTGGACCTGATCTCACAGGAGCTTGCAGCAGCCATTGCTGATGATTCCCAGGTCTTCCCGGAGGTTCCGAAAAGCCAAGACGAGGGAGACCCCTTCTTTTCAAAAGCTGAGCGGGACGAGTACATCCAGCTCACTGTGCGAGAGCTCAACTGTGGCAAGCTGCGCCTTCGTCCGGAGGTGGAGGCCGTTGCCGGCATCTTCGCGGCTGGAAAGTCAGGCGGCCGTCAGCGGAAAATTTGGAACGGAGCTTCTGTTTCCCAGTTGGCGCAGGTGCCGCCAAAGCCGAGGCGGCTGGCTAACCCTTCCTGCTTCCTTGACGTGGACGCTTCAGCTGGGGAGAGGCTCTACTTCTCCAAACGAGATGCTGCGACGTTTTTCGATGCGCTGAAAGTGCCGAAAGCGCTGCAGAAATGGTTCGGGCAACCTGCTGTGCAAGTACGAGAGCTGGTTGAGGCGGGTATGAGCTTGGAAACCATCTTTTCGCTTTGCGACGACTTGCCCTCGAGAGATGTTAAAGCTGATATGTGGTTGTATCCAGCAAACGTGGTCTGGCCCATGGGATTCTCATGGTCGTCAGCTGTGGCGCAGGACACAACGCTAGCGGTCTGTGCCCGCGCTGGCATCCGGGAAGAGTCAATTCTCAGCCCAGACCATGGCCCGCCGCAGCAACAGCAGGAACTAGTTTTCGTTGCCACGGATGACACAGTCCTTGTGCACCGCGACTGCAAGCTGGGAATGCAGACGCTAAGCAACCTCGACGCGGCTTTCCTGGACAACGGCATACCGCGAAATGTCAAGAAGGACGTCACCTTGGCCTCCAGCATTACTGCTTTGGGGTGTGATCTGTGCGCCAGCCCTCCAGTCGCTGAGCCTGGGATAGCACGTCTCTGCCAAGTTGTCGGCCGGACCTTAGATCTTTTGCATAATCCGAATGCTAGTCCTAGGGGGGTTCTTAGGTTGCTAGGTGTTTGGGAGTGGTTTGTACTTCTGCAACGAAGCATGTTCAGCATCTACGACGCTGTCTACAGCTTCAGCAGGAAGACCCCTGAACACCAAACCGCTGCAGTGCCCGACAAGGTCCTCAACGAGTTCTTGACAACCCTGCTGCTCGCGCCTCTGCTCACAGCTGGCCTGGATCGCCGACCTCTGAGTACGCTTGTGGCTACAGATGCCTGTCCCGAATATGGGTTTGGTGTCTGCGCAGCAGAGTGCTCGCAGCTGGATGCTTTTCAGGTGTGCAATATGGCAGAACGCAGGGGTGATTTCGTGCGCCTCACTACCTCAGCAAGCGACCCAGTTGAAGTTCCCAGGCTAGGAAAGCCAAGGCGCCTTCCTATCAAGCAACAAGATTTCAAAACAGTGGTCTCTTGTCGTGCGAGATGGCCAGGGCACTCCGGGGTACTCGAGATGCACGGCTACATGCTTGGCTTGAAGTGGGCAGCAAGACATCCGCGACGACACCATCGGAAGATCCCTTTTCTGGTCGATGCAAAAGCTGTGGTGGGTGCGGCCGCCAAGGGCCGCAGTTCTGTGCGCTCTTTCCTCAAGATCCTGCGAAGCGCAGCTGCCTACACGCTCGCTGCTGACATCCTTCCCAGAATCGTCTATATTCCTTCTGAGTCAAACCCTGCGGACGCCCCATCCCGGGGACGGAAACTCAGGAGAGGACGACGCTGCCAGTCTTCGGATCAGTTCTGCATAGATGCAACAATTCGCGAATTCTTGGCGCCACTGTCGCCCTACCCGTGGCAGCCGGGCATGTGACCGAGCCTGCTTCTGGAATTTCTGGCCAGGCAGGCCTTCGGGCAGCTGCAGGAGAGGCTGTTTGCTGCTGCTGCGGGGGTGGGCTTCCACGATCTGCTCCAGTCGTGGCCTTTGTGGCCCAGCCAGGGAGTGGACCTGAGGCCCCGGCTTTGGCCTACACTTCTCTCTGGAGTTCTGGGCTCTGCATGTCACTTTCCGATCTTTTTTCTGCGGCGACGCTTCGCTTACACCAGTGCGGGGTATTTGGGCTTTTCAAAGACATCAGCTTGTTTGGCGAGCTTCGCCTTGGAAGTTTTGTTCTCCTTGAATCGCTCGCTCTACCCTGCAGTGGCGTCATTCCAAAACGGGCAGTGCTCATGACCGGAAGCAAGTCTGAATGAGTGGCAGCCTCAGCAATGAGGGGATATTGCTGCAGCGAACGTTCCAAGCACCGACAACAGGCGTAAGTTGCAGGTGCACAGGACATGAAGACGCGCAGCTGTGCATTCGTCCAATGCCGTCATGTTGACCAAGCTTTTGCCATGTAGCCTTTCACAAGGGTAGGTGCGAAAAGCGCCCCGCCCAACCCGCCCGGGCTTTTCAAAGACATCAGCTTGTTTGGCGAGCTTCGCCTTGGAAGTTTTGTTCTCCTTGAATCGCTCGCTCTACCCTGCAGTGGCGTCATTCCAAAACGGGCAGTGCTCATGACCGGAAGCAAGTCTGAATGAGTGGCAGCCTCAGCAATTAGGGTTTAGGGTTTAGGGTTTTAGGGTTTAGGGTTTAGGGTTGCGCGCCCCCTCTAAATATCATAGCAGTGATGAGATCCCCCCCCCCCCCCCCCAACACCTGCACTTGGAGACTTCCAGGAACCGGCTGCTGCCTCAGGGTTTGGGGCTTAGGGTTTGGGGTTTAGGGTTCAGGGTTTAGGGCTCAGGGTTTAGGGTTTAGGGTCAGTAAGCCCGGTTCTGTCTTGCCTTGCGAGCCGCAAGTACCTTAAATGACGTTGCGAGGTTCTGGTCATGGGCTTTACTTTTTGAGCCCTTTCAGCTAGCTAGCCCCTCAAAATGCTGAAACTTTAGCCCTAAACCCTACAGCCTAAACCCCAAAACCCCTAAACCCCAAACCCGAAACCCCAAAGCCTAAACTCTGAACCCTAAACCCCAAACCCTAAACCCGTGGCCTGCCTGAGCCCAGGTGGACGAGGACGGGGCAAAGGGAAAGAAACGAAAGCTGGAGCGCCACAGCGACTGAGGCGCCTCGGCTTACCCCTCTGACAAGAAAGGCTTGAGGTTTAGGGTTTGGGGTTTAGGGTTTAGGGTTTAGGGCTGTGTCTGGGGTGGTTTCGTGGTTCAGGATTCTTGATGGCATTCGGAGCGCATTTTGTTTTTTCGCCGATACCCTAGATGTACCGAGGGAGAGCTTAGGACCAGCCCGCCGCTCCAGCTCGGCTCTTAGACAGCCAGGGGCTGAAGGCTCGCATGACTGAGGGCCTTTCAAAAGTTCTAATCTTTAAACCCAAACCCAAAAGCACTAAAAGCACTGTGGGTATGGCGTGGGTGTGGGCGGTGGGTGTGGCGGAGGGTGTGGGCGGTGGCTGAGGCTGTGGCTGAGGCTGTGGCTGAGGCTGTGGCTGTGGCTGTGTGTGTGTGTGCTTTGTATGTCTCCCATCTGGGCAATGCTCAACATTCAAAACCCCAAAACCCCCAAAAAGACTCTGACCCAAAGGGTTTCGGGAGCCCAGCTTCACGCTACCCCATGCCATCTCTCTGTGAACCTGGGGTCGAGGCGTTTTCTGAGATCCCCTGGCAGCTGCGGGCGTGCCCTGCATTGATGTGCCTTGGACGAGTTTACAAGAGGTTTGGGGCATTGAGCACAGAGATCTCTCCCAGGTTCACCGAGTGTTGCGATTCAGCATCCACAGTGACAGATACCTGCTCTGAAGTGGCTCAAGAGGCTCAAGGGTCAAGCTGAAGTTGGGGAAGGTTTTGCTCAGGACCGAGGATTTCTAGCGCCTGTGGCCACAATGTCGGGCACGGATGTCCACTTCTTCAGCTTTGCACCAGAGGAGTCGATTGTGGGGCATGAAGGGCCCCTCTGGACGCCTTGGGCCATTCAATGGTGGGTAACGTTGTTCGGCATTGCCACGTTCAACATCGCGATGTATGCGGCCCTTACCTTTTGCTACTACTCGTCCTTCTCTACAAATGTGACATTGAAAGCCTATCAACAGTTCATGCAGGCGACGTGCGGCGTCTACGTCTTCGTCTGCGCGTACCGCTCCTACATGCCAGCTCAGTACCCTTTGCGGTACGTTTGGTTCGATACGCCGCTGTCGAGCATCCTGTTGGTTCGGAGTTTAGCAGCAGTAGCTGAGATGTGCTTCATCGCACAGATCGCGAGGGCGCTTTCCTTCATCGAGAACCAGGTGAACGAAACCAACCAAAGTTGGGGCAATTGCTGGCATCTCGTTTGCCAGGCCGCTGCGCATGCCATGGTGATCATCATCTTCTTGGCCCAGTGTTTCTCTTTTGCCGGCACCATCACGAAGAGCAACAAGTGGTACGCATTTGAGGAGTTCAATTGGGGCTTGGCCTTCGCAGTGGGCATGCCTTTCTTCATGGTACTGTCCTACCAGGTGTTTCAGCTGCGGAGAGAGGCCAAAACGCCCTGGACCTGCTCCTGCAATGCCATGGTGTATGCCGTGGGGATGAGTGCATTCTGCATCGGCTATGTGCCCTACATGTTCATCACCGACGCGCCAGAGTACTGGCAGCGCTACCAGGACCAGCTGGCCGAAGGCTTCGAATTTCTGAGTTTCTGGGACGGTGTCAAGGATGCAGCTTTCACTCGCCATCACACTCACCTAGAGGAGGTCTGGGAATATGCGACCGTGTGGCAAACAGCCTACTTCAGTGGAGCCGTGTGGATCAGCCTGCTCCTGGCTTTGGCCCCGAAGCTGGAGGTTACAAACACCTTCAAAACCCTTCTGGGCCAGGAGGCCCGTGCGGCAGCGCCGGATGTAGAAATGAAGTGAGATCCCATGCCCCACGTTTTAAGCATAAAAACTGCCCAGATCAGTTCTTTGAGCTGGGTGCTACAGACTTTGCTTCGTGCGCTTCATGCAGCAACCAGCACAAGGCGGGTGCTGCGTCGAGCCCCTGTGGGTTTTGTAGGAACTGCCTGCCGAGCTTGAGTTCTTTCCGAGAAGAGAAAATTGGGGTGCGTCTGGGGGCGGGGGGGGGGTGCGGAGTGCGGGGTGTTGCTTACCCTACTATATTTGCTTAAGAACCCCACCTCAAAAAAGCAAATATTCTTTCTCATAAGGGCAATATGAGGATGATTATATTTTTTTGGGGGGGGAGGGGTTGGTAAGCAAATAGTAGTGCTCTGCAGTCCTGGTGTTCTCTGGATGTTTCGGAAGCATCCAAAAAGACTCTCCCGCCCAGGTCCTCTTCAAGGGGGAGCGGAATGTCCTCCGTGGAAGGCTCGTCAGCTTGCGCTGGAAAGACGCGTTTGGGCGCCCTGCAGCAGGATTTTTAGGGTTTAGGGTTTAGGGTTTAGGATTTAGGGTTTAGGGTGTTTAGAGCTTCTTTGCGCCTTTCGAGGGAGCGTCGTGACATCCCACACCGCCTCGTCGCAGCCCTCCTCGCAGCCCTCATCACCCTCCCACATGGGCATCTCCCAAAACAGGGTTGAGGGTTTAGGGTTTAGGGTTTAGGGTTTAGGGTATCCAAACCTCTTTTCTACCCCAAAATAGAATAGAATCTCCCGTTAAAGAGTCCCCCCAAAAAGTTTACCCCCCCCTTATTTTGGGAAACCCCCACCATGCCTTTGACTGCAAAGCCATGGCTCGAGCTACCACATGATCGGGTCAGCGGCGGAGTTGGTGCCTCGGAGGATGTTGGATGATTCCGGGCTTAGGGTTTTAGGGGTTTTTAGGGGTTTTAGGGTTTGCGGTCATGGAACCCTTCAGGCCAGCCCCACAAAACAGGTCCAGGTTTCGAAGCGGCCCTGAGAGCCCCTGAAGTCAACAGAGCTCCCGAAGGACCGAATTTGGGGTTTAGGGTTTTAGGGTTTAGGGTTTAGGGTTTAGGGTTTAGGGTTTGGGGTTAACTCCATGCAGTCAGAGGTTCCTGTCGTGTCGGCGGTCCGACCAGGGACGCCCCCAGAAAGGGGGGTGTCCCCTAGACCCTGAACCCTAAACCCTGAACCCTAAACCCTAAACCCTAAACCCCAAACCCTAAGCCCTAAACCCTAAACCCTAAACTCCGCAGGGTTTAGGCCCAGCAGTTTAGGGTTCCAGGAGAGACCGGAGGAGGTAGAGGTGCAGCTTCTGCCAAGGTCACGGAGGCAGAGTCTTCTTCTAGAACCTGAGAGCTGCCACTGAAAAGAATTGGAAACTTCTACTCTACTCTTCTGTTGTACCAGCTACCGGTAAAAGTAGATCATACTGCGTTGTACTCGACTTTGCTATACGATAGCATAGAAATCGATGCCATCGGACAGCGGAACGGAGCTTAAATCCTCAGCAACGAAGATGTCAAAGCCCTCGAAGGGGCTTAGGAGGGTATAGGGTTCAGGATTAAGGGACGGGTTATTTACAAGCAGGTACCGAAAGAAGCAGGCAACTACCCCAACGACCTACAGAAACTCTATGCTTTACTTACCCAAGTAATGGAAGCGTTGGCACTCGGGGGAGTTTCTTTCGAAACAGTTTTGCAGCCATCTGAATAGCCAAACTGTAGGATCTCAAAACGGGACCCCTGGCACTTTGAGATGCCACCCTACTCGCTAAACCCTACCTGGAGTTTCATGGTTCCTAATAACCCAATTAAAAACTGCACCTATCACAAGTTTATGAGTCCTTTAAGTGCCCTAACATGGTGATGATAGGGTTATAAGTACAGTTAGAATTGGGTTCTTCAGTACCCTGAACCTCCAAGTAAAGCCTGTACAGTGCCCCATATTTCGGGGGCCCGAGCCTTTAAGCCCCAAATCCCAGACGTGGTGGCGGAGGACAGCTGCCGCGGGAATACATAGGGGGGCGGGGGGCCTCTCTTAACTACTTTTTCATAGTTGGGTAACATGTTTTACATTTTTAAGGGTACTTAAAAACTCAATCTTGAGGCTTGGGGTTTGGGGTTTAGGGGAGGATGGTTAGCTGCAGTCTAAAGCATGCAGACAGGGAGCCCGAGATCAGAAATGTACTTGCTTCATCTTGGGGATCCCTAAACCAGACCCTCAAACTAGTAGGATTCCCTTAAAATCGGAATCCCAATAAGGGACCCCCCCGCCTCCCCCGAAGATTTCGGAAACCCAGAAAAGAGTAGGAGCATGTACATGCATGGTACAGTTCATGGTCTTGAGTGCGCGTTGTGCCTGCCATGTGGAGGCTCGCCTTGCCGAGGTCTTCGCCAAAACTCTGGGGGCGGGTTGACAAATCCTGCACCTCCTTAAAGGCACCCTCCCAATTCTGTAGCTGTTCTTTGCCGAGTCTTTGGGCCGGCCGCAAGTTGAGTCGCTTTGCGGCGCATGCGCAGAAAGGAAGGCCACAACTGGAGCAAGTCCTGCGCATGTCCAGCAAAGCGAGTTGGAGGCGCATGACGCGCATGGCCACACTGCTGCACGACGCCATGCCGCCTGTGCTTGCTGCAGGTGGTTCGCACACATGTGCCGTCAGGGCAGATGGCACGCTCGCCTACTTTGGCAAGGACGCTGATAGTGTCGCTCAAGTCTTCAACGGTTTTGGACCAATTCAGGCAGTTTCTGCCGGTGGCTCCCAGACATGTGCCATAGACGCCGACGGCCAGTTGCGTTGCGTTGTGAGCAAATGTGGTGATGCTGTTCCTGCAGATTTGGGACCAGTTTTGGCAGTGTCCGCGGGCGACGATCACATTTGCGCTGTGAAGAAGGATGGCCGGGTGACCTGTTGGGGATGGGATGCTTATTGTCAATGTAGCGTACCTCCGGAGCTCGAGCCCTTTCCGCAAGTCGCCGCTGGTGGTGATCACACCTGCGCAGTGGGAGCAAATGGTCAGCTGTTCTGTTTCGGGTCCAACTTTGAAGGTCAGAGCGTGGTGCCACCCAACTTGGGCCCGGTTTGCGCAGTTTCGGCTGGCAGCGCTCACACCTGCGCAGTGAAGTTATCTGGCGAACTGGTCTGCTTCGGTGGAGATTTCTGTGACGAGTGTCCCTGTCCCGTGCCACTGGACTTGGGACCCGTCTTGGGAGTCTCCTGTGGCGGACTCCATACTTGTGCCGTGCGACTGGATGGTCGGCTCGTGTGCTTCGGGAACAATGAGAGTGGCCAATGCGACGTGCCCGAGGACTTGGGACCAGTCCTGGCAGTTTCTGCAGGATGGCATCACACCTGTGCCATAAGGGCCGACGGTTTCTTGGTTTGTTTCGGGTCCAACGACCACGGACAATGTGATGCCACGCCCGACTTTGACCTTGGGGGTTATGGACACATGGGGCCTGGGAGGTACATGAGCCTCATCTGTTAGGATGTCCCCTTAGACGAACAGTCCTTCATCGGGATTATAATCGGGGGGGGATACTAAAACCTAAGCCCGAAACCCGAAACCCTAAACCCTAAACCCTAAACCCCTAGAATCCCTTATGAGGGAGTGGCTAGTTTCAGGGGGGAACATCCCAACTCATCTGTCCTGCCAAGCCTGCCCTACCTGGCATCCTCGAGCTCCTATATATATTGGGGGTTTAGGGTTTAGGGTTTAGGGGTTAGGGTTTAGGGTTTAGGGTTTAGGGTGACCCACCGAATAGTAGGGTCCCCTTATAATAAGGACCCCAATAAGGTACCCCTTAAGGTCGGAAACCCCCCATAGAGTCCCTGACTCTCCCAGGTAGGACCCCGTCTCCAAAGCCGCAAGCATGATATCTGTTAGACTGATTAGTTGGGATGTTCCCCCTTATACTAGCAGCCCTTCATCGGGATTATAGTACCCACTACTATATTCCCTATTAAGGACTGTTCGTATAAGGGGGAACGCCCCGAGTTAAACCTTTGCTGAGCTGCCCAGCGCTCCGTTGTCACGGGCGGACTTTGCCCAACTGAAATTTTGACCAGAGCTTTGCAAATTCCCTAAACCTCTATCCTGAAGACCGATAGCCTTTGTTGTCCGGCACTCGCCCCTGCACGAAAGAAGCCCCTCAAACTTGTATGCCTCAAGCCCATGCACCTTAAAGCCCCTGAAACTCCTGAACCCCCTGAACCCTAAACCCTGAACCCCGAAACCCTAGACCCTAAACCCCAAGGAGTGCTGGCTTGGGATAGCGGACCGGCTGCTGGGCGCACGGAGGACGAGTCTGAGCCGCAGAGGTTTTCGAGCCTTCGGCGTTGGTGACGTACGTGAGTGGGGTTTAGGGTACAGGGTTTGGGGCTTGCGCATTGCGGTTTGGCCTGAGGGTTTCTTGTAAGAGAGCTTGGTGAGCTCTCTCTCGTGCAGCGCGTGATGTCAAGGGTCAGGGAACTCCTTCCTAAACCCTAGACCCTAAACCCTAAACCCTAAACCTGCGCGGGTTTACATGGGCTTTCGGCGCCCAGCTTCGTCCCAGGACGACGATGATGATGGTGACGACGACTCAGATGGGGGTTTCCGAGAATAGGGGACCCCTAATCTAGACCCCCAAATACATGGTAGGATACCCCTCAGATTAAGGACCCCAGTAAGGTAACCCTCATGTCGGACACCCCCAGATGAGGGCGACACCGAGGAAAAAAGGAGGATCCTGCTTTGCTGGCCTTGCCTTGCAAAATGGTGCTGCGTCGATCTCTCGTAGGCAGCTTTACCTGCAGCCAGCCATGAGAGCCATGTGGTTCCAATATATAGATCGGTTGCTCATGGCATAAATGCTGAAGCAGACTGTTTTCTTCTTCATGCGTCCATGGGTTGGATTCGGATGTAAAACTCTTACCCCAATGAGAAAGGAGCGAGGAGCGAGTGTGTTTCCGTCATGTTCCATGTCTGAACGAACATATTTGTATGCCTCACATGCCATGTGAGAAGTGAGATGAAGGAATTTTGTAAACATTTATCCGTTTCACGCAGATTCATGAGAGCTCATGCTAAATTAACCCGAAGCTCAATACGTTTGTGTTGTGATTGGTGGTTCTATTTTCGCACGTCGGTGTAATTGCTGAACCGTGGCGTCCATGCAATTTGTTTGGATCACTTCCTTTTTTTGCAGGCATATGCGTTCTTAGACCAAGAACAGCTGCAGCATGTGTGAGTCTCAAATTGTCTGCATCCGATGCTTCTTTTTCACGTCCTCAGGGCACGGTATTCCTTCAGTGATCACTTGCCAGGAGCTGTGTAAGATAGGGGGAAGAAGAACTCATAGTATTCCCTTGTGGTCCTTTCATAGTTATACTAGAATAACCCCCCAAAACCCTACTCCAATTATTTAGGCCCCTGCATTATATTCTTCTTGGGTTTGCCTGTCACATAAAGTTCGACGTCAAGCGCAGCGATGGCTGTGCTGCCACACCAGCGCCATGATCGGCTGGTCAAGGTGCGCGCCTGACCAAACTATGAGACGGTTTTGGGTTTAGTGTGATTTGGGGTTTGGGGTTTAGGGTTTAGGGTTTAGGGTTTAGGGATTGGGGTTTTGGGTTTAGGGTGTAATTTAGGGGTCGGGAGAATCATCGGCAATGGCTCTGTAGGCAAGTGTTTGTAGGCTTGTTCCCGCCCCGCCCTCAGAAGCAGGTGCTAGGTGAGGTTTGTGCCGCCCTCACAAGTAGCGGTAGGCCATTGTTTGTTTCCTGAAACCCAAGCAGAAGGATAACTACGAATTGTATTATTCCCCTATGGTTCGTGTATACATATACTATACTAACCCGAAAACCCTATTCTCTAGTACAGCATGAAAATTGCGAGAGGGCGGCCTTGTTGGAAGATTCAGCGTTGACGGATTCGCTAGTCGGGGAATCAGAAATAGTTCTGTTCAAGAGACTCCAAGCCCAATGCTCAGAAATAGTCACGCAAAAACTCACTTGGAGTGTCTCTTGATGGCCCAGAAAACTGCTCTAAAAGCGTTTTCGACACTGTGTTTGCGACTAAGGATCCTGCCACATGGACAAGATGGCTACGGCTAGACCGTCCAAAGTCGAAGTCCATGTAGTCGACATGAACTAGTTCAAAGGATTTTCATCCAGCGGCTTTGCCGCGCAATCCGCGGCGGGGGAATCAAATGCTGCTCTACCAAGCGTGACCGGACCTGTCAACTTCCCGTGCTTTGTTTTGAAGCTCGGTGACATCAGCAAAGTTCTTGCAGCCTCGTGAAGTCTACGTTCCCCTCATTGATGACTGTTGCGCTCGTCGTCAGGCCTCTTGCTGTGCGTGGCGTCGTTCCCGTACAGGGATACACTCATGAACTCCCAATCCCAAAAGTTTGCCTTCGACGTCTTACACAACGAAGCACTACCTTTTTGTAAAGCTCCTGCTATGGCTCCCCAGCTCCCCCGCCCGGTGCGCCTCTGCAGGAGATTGCGCAAAGGTGAAAGAGCATCACTGAGCGCGCTCACTGAAGCAACCAGCTTCAGGATCCTGAAGGAGCTTCCCAAAGCAAACTTTGTCACTCAAGGCAGACGGTTTTATGATTACAGGGCCTGATGACTCAACACCCGCCGAAGGTAAGTTCGGCTTCAAAAAAAGCATGCCTGGCCGTGGAGTGAAGGGGCACTCCTGACACAGGGTGTGAAGACCCTCAAGCCTGCGTGTCGCAATCTGTGGAAGGGCTGATGGCTCCTCAGAAAGTTACTTGAGGTTTAGAGGCTTACAAACAAACGCAAACGAATCATTGTTGTAAAACACAATCGAACGAACTTGCACCTACCGTCGCTCTCTCCAAAACGCAGCACTCGCGCACAACCGCCCCAGTTCGTACCCATGTTGTTCGCCTCAAAATTCTCTGTGGCACTTCGATGCACCCACGTGGGGCACCGGCAGCCCAACCATAAGTCCGGCAAATCACCACGGCTTCTGAGACATCGTCCGTACATCCTCATGAAGCGGCGGCCAGATTTCTGATGAACAAGGCCTCGGCTTAAGACTCAAATCCTCAAATGCCGAAGCCCTAAACCCTCTCTTGACCCGTCAAGCGGCCTTAAGCATTAAAAAGCCGGTTTCGCAGAGCAATTCTCGTATTGCCGCCTCTTCGCACTTAGTCGCGCATGCTGGAGGCAGGGAACGTCTCTTGGCTACCCGTAATACACGGAGATGCTGCAAGCCTCAAAAACGTACCCCCAACCTCTATCCTCGAACTTCAACCCGTAACCCCAAGCCTTACCCATACCGTGGCCTCTTGGGCACTTCCTTGCGGGGTCCCAGCAGGTCTGCTGGAGCGTCAGCTTCGGGGTTCGATTCGGGGTTTAGGGTTTAGGGTTTAGGGTTTAGGGTTTAGGGTTTAGGGTTTAGGGTTTAGGGTTTAGGGTTTAGGGTTTAGGGTTTAGGGTTTAGGGTTTAGGGTTTAGGGCGTTGAAGGTGTGGGATTCTTGGGCTCAGGGTCCGGAGGCGCCAAACAGCGCCTTCTCCTTGAGCGAGCCAGTGGCTTGCTGCTACTGAGCTAGGCATCCTTGTATGAAATTGGACTCGATCCTCCGGAGCGGCCCAAACAACTCTGCAGGGAAAGCTTGTTCCTTCAGATGACAAGGGCCCAGAAGCAATTCAATGTGTCAAACCTTTTGCAGTCATAGCGAGCTCTACGCTGGCTCCAGCTGCTCGTTCCAGTGACTTAGTGGGTGGTTCGATTTCGGTTTCTCGACCCCTTCCCGCTGGAAGGACCTGACTCTCTAAGAATCGGTGCTGGAATTGTTTGCGGGAGCGCTGAGACGAGCCTCTGCCAGCCTCTCCCACGCTGTCAGCCCATCACTCCTGGTTATCCGTGGCCAGTCCGTGGCCCGTGGAGAGTGGCCCCAAGCGCGAGTCAAGTGGGACCCCGCTTGACATTGCAGCGCTTTGGCAAAGTTCCGCAGCCTTCGGTGGCACCGCCTTAGGCCGTGCCTTCAGAGCGCGAGCCATCAGCAACTTTACATCAAATGAAGAAGGGGAGGCCCAAGTCCTCACCGAATCCGCTGGTAGCTGGACATTCTTAGTGGAAGAGCTTTCACTTGTTCTTCTGCTGTTTTTTGTCCGGCCCTGGGGCATCTGGACGGCACCTACCCCTTGTTTTCTCATGGACATTGGAAGGCGTGGGTAGCTCCTGCTTTTGGGCTTTTCCCGTAGCCCACGAGATGAACCACGTGCCCTACAGGGATTCGTTCTATGAAGCCGTAGAGCCCTAGCGGAGTCAGTGCCAGAAAGCCGGCTTGAGGCGAAATAGTGTAGCCTGCTGTAACATGTGACACGGGTTACGGGTATTCATCGGAGGACGCGGCGACACCGATCTAAGCCAAAGAGGAGGTTGAAACTTGGCATGAGGTTGAATGTGGGCCGAGTGCCAATCTCAACCTTTTCTGCTTCCAAGGTTTTCCACCAGCCCTCGAAAA